CTGAATTCTTGTAAGTTGAGTTGCTAAGTGGAGTGTGTTAGTGGAATCCTGCCACATCTCCCAGGTGTGCTGTTTGGGGTGGGATGAACTGCAGCCCAGCAGTTCCTTGGGCTGTGGGGGAACACACACACAGATGCATCTGGCTGCATCCGCACAGCTTCTCCAATCCCTCCTGTTCCACAGCCCTCTGATGGTCCAGGCTGATGTCACTTGTCAGCTTTTTGGTTATCTTTTTAGTAAGGAAATGAAGCCAAGGATTTCCTGACAGCACATTGCTGTGCTGGTGTATCAGTGGAGGGAATCTGTGATGTAACACTGAAAATGTCTCCAAGCCTTTCCCCAAATTTAATAACCTTGCAGTGAACAAGTGCTGATCATTCACTGCAAGGTCTAAGACAACCCTTCTACAGATCATGCTTTTTTTCTTTTTTTTTTCTATTTTTTTGGTTGTTTTTTTTTTTTTGTGGGCTTTCTCTTTTCTTACTGTGCATAAAGGATTCAAATGAAAGTTACATTTTTTGTAATATATGAAGAGCCTGTTAATCTTGGAGAATAAGAACCCAATAAATTTTGCAACTATATTTGTTGACATGATTATTTTTTTGTATTAAAAATTTGTTTTGGGTCAGTCGTTTTTCCTCTGCTTGCTTTGCTAGGAAACTCAGGGGTAAAATTCCATTACATATATGAATGATAACTAGCTACAAAAATAAAAGCAGATGGCAGCCAAGCAGAAGTATCAGATGTATATTTCTTCATCTTTTGTACAGATCGAGACACTCAGGAACACAAATTTCTGTTGTTTACAGTAGAGAAGTTAATTACCCATATTTTAAAATTCAGAACTTTTCTCTGCATTTATATATATTCTTGTCAGTACACCAAAAATTGAACCCAGGTCATTAACAAACATGCCTACTGTGGGCAGTCACATTCCCAAACTGGCGTGGCCAGGCAACCTCCTGGAGGTACAATTTTCAGGCAAGTGCCCTGGGTCGCAAAAGCTTTTTCTTCAGTTGAGGGTTCTGGCTTTATCTTGTGGGGAGACTGGGCAAATGTAGCTGCAATGAGGACTGCATAGGAGGAAAAGGATGTTTATGTTTTCCCCTGTATTCTCTCTGAGCTTTCCACCTAGATATTTAGGCGTGTGACTATCCAGCTACTTTATTTCAAGTCCAACTTACTGAGGTTTGTTTAATATCCAGCTAAAATATCTCATTTCTAGCTCAGTTGGGACTTCAGATCTTTTGTTCTGAAATCCCTTTCTTGAGCTGCTGTGGTTTTCTTTTTTAAACAACTCATCTGGGAGACAAGGACCTGGTGCACTCCTGTCATGTAGGTTTTCTCTGCATGGAGAGATCAGCTTTTGCATTGACAATCATAACCAAGATACAAATACATTGTAAAATAAAGTTTGTTGGTTTTGTTTTTTTTTTTCCTTGCAGACTGAGATACATGGTTTGAACCATTAAAACCAGAATATCTGGAAGTCTTCACTGAGTGTGTCTGATGTGCATAAAATTTCTAGGTTTTTTGAGGTTTGGAAGGAGGACATAACTAGGAATTGATATGACTGAGATAACCCAGCTAGGGGTGTCCAAAAGCTAGTAACACCCTGAAAGCAACACTCTACACCTGAGTTTCCTGTATTTTGTGAAATGCCTTGGATTGAATTAAAAAGGCTCCTTCTGAGCCATTTTTTGTACAAACATGCAGTAGCTGCAAGGTGAATTTTTAGTTTCAAAATAATTGTGAACTCTTCTTTCAATGGCACATATGCTAACAGAAGGAACAAAAACATTACTACAAGTAAGGATTTGGCATTTCTAATTGCTTTTTAACCTTCTCCAGCCCAAAAATGTAAGTGTTAGGTCCCTGCCTGACTTCTGAAATTTGGATACAAGAAAATAATCTTTGTGGAGTAAATTTGTATCACTTACTTCCCAGTGAATGTCTGATACATAAGAGGTATTTTGTCCTTTTCAGAGCATTCAGGAAAATAACTTTGTAAATGCTTGGGTATACATGAGGAATTTCTGGCTCTATCACCGATAGGAGTATTCAGGAGAGCCTAAATGTTCATTCAGAGGGTAAATTTAAAACAGATAAAAAATTTAAGCTAAACTGTGCTGTAAACCTTGATATCAGTGTTCTGTTTTTAGATTTATAAATTGTCCATGAAATGTAGAAATCCAGGGACTCACATTTTAAGTGAACTGCTACAATGGATGTTTCTCCTTGGGTAACTTTCTCTTGCTGGGCAACTTTGTCCTTGGCCCTGCTTTTTGAACAAATGGCTATAAATCAGAAGTAATGCTCGTGAAACCTATGAAATACAGCAGGATAAATAAATATCAAAGCTTTGCCATCATGTTGTAAATTTAGTTCGCCTTTTCCTTTCTTTTTTAGGAAGGTGCTTCTGGAGATAAATGTCCCCAGGATGGAAACGCATTGGTTGTACCTCACCAAAATCAAACGGGTTTGATGTCACTGAGACCAGCGCAGCATAGCAAAGATGGATTTGCTTCTGCGTCGATCCGCTGTAAATAAACTTGCTTCTTTCTGGAAGAACTCTCCTTCTCGGAGTTCGCTTGCATCCACGGCCTCTTTCCTTTTCTCTGCAGTTCCCTGGTGTCTCGTTACTGCTTCCGTGCAGGAAGCACATGACACTGAGTGTGCCGAGCCATTGGGTGGAGAGGGAGGACAGATGATGCTTTGTGGGCACGGCGGCAGTGAAACCCAACATGTGCCAGCCATTCTCAGCACAGGACGAGTTTGGACCGTTCTCTGAGGTTGTTAGCTGGCAGCAGCTGGAAGCAGGCAAGGGTGCAACAGTACGGAAAGGAAGAACGGGAGAACAGAACCTGTTTTCATCTGGTTTTAAGGAGTAAATGCTGTCTTTGGATGGACTTCGAGTTCATCCAGATTTCGAGGGGAAAATATGTTAAATGAAATCAGATGTAGATCAGTGTTTGTACCTTATTCCAAAAGAACAAGAATAATTTAGGATGCTAATGCATCTATTCCACCAGCCAAAGTGTCACAGCCGTGTCACAGCCCTTTCCCTGATGCCAAGGGCAACCCAGAGCCTGTGCCAGAGATTATGAAGGGCCACTGCTGCAAGCACTGGCACAGACAGAGTCTCAGCTGTGTTTTCAGCACACAATGTGTAATATGGATATACATTCCTAAAGTCAAAGCCAGTTATTCTGTTGCTTTGATAATGTTTGTTTCAGTTCCCACTATACTTCTTCCTCTTGAGGTCCTGTTTTTAAAAAAAAGATCCATTGCTACAGTACTTAGAACAAGTCAGATAGAGAAACTGAGAGAAATTTACCAAGCATCTGATCTTACAGAGGAAAACTAAAAACAAGGCTTTCTTTTTGGCATGAATGAGAGAGGCAAGAAGGGCCTGAATCTGACACAGGTAACTTTAATTTTAAACAGCAGATTTCTTGCACACACCTCTTACCTGCAAATTCAGGACTACTTGCAGTAGTCTCTAAAATTCCATGGTGCCTGCAGTCATCGCTACTGTTGCTCAGCTAAGTGCTCAGGGAAAGCACACATAGCCAAATTAATAGTTTGAAGCGTGTGTCCATATTATTATCCATACTGTAAATAAGATCAGGAGCTGTGGCTTACATAGGTCAACTGGTCTTGAGTAAAATACCAGCTCCTAATTAGTGAGGGTACTTAAGACTGGTTGCTGAGGGTATCCACAGCCCAGACAAATCTGATTAGACTCTGACATACCTATGAACAATGTGCAGTGTGTTATTTGCTGAACATGTTCCAAACAATTTCCCACAGAAAACAGTAAAATACTATTAACATTGTTAGCAAACTTAAATATTTCTGTATTTTCTTGTTACATTTTAGAGAATAATCTGTCCCTATTATGCCTGCAGCAGCAGAATTACAAACAGTAACAGGGGCTGCCAGCCACTGCTCCTGTGCAGACATGAACCGGGCAGGATTTGGAGGAAGATTGCTTACTGAAGTGATATCTACCCGCCTCTGCACATGAGCCAGACAGCCAGTTTTCTGGGGTATGTGTCAAATCAAATTTCAGAGGTTGAGTGGAAACAAGGAATGTTTTGCCTGCGGCTCTGGAGGCAATGAAGGACTGGGGTGGATGCACACGCCCTGATTATGCTGTGTAGTGGCCACCCTCTGCTGCAATTTGGGCCTCTGTTTCTGCCCATCCATCTCTTATCACTTCAGTACATTTCTCTGCATCACCACTGTAAAGAGACAAATCATAATATGGCAGGGGAAGGCGCTGGATTTTCCCAGGATGTGCTGGAAGTGGTGTGGCCTATGTGTCCCTGGCACAGATGGTGCAGCAGCTGAGGTGCCCTGCCTGTGCCCAGGAAGAGGGCTGAGGGCTGAGCCACAAAGCACCAGTCTGTGCCCACCCAACCTTGCCTGGGCCGGACACACCAGCCGCCAAAAAGGTTATAGGAAGGGGGTGATGCCGATCCTTCCTTGGAGATGTTGTGGGGATTATTTACATCATTGCTATTGCCCAGTCATTCTCATGCAGCCAGCAAAAGTCACACAGCCTTTGTAAGTTCAGTTTAAAAGACTTAAAGAAGTGTGAGTCTCTGTGTGTGTGCACATACACCACTCAGATGTTGGGATGTGGAGATTAAAGCGGAGATGGACAGGAGCAGGAGTGCAGGGATTGTGCAGATAAGGAACCACGAGAAAGATGGACAAAGAAAACGGGAGCAGAGGTATGAAGAAAACAACTACCTCCATCTCCATCCTTATCTACATCTCTATATCTCTATCATCTCTATCTCTATGTATATCCACATACACACACTCCCAACACTTCCCAGCAGCCCGGACTGCAGCCTCTGCCCACCGAGCCCGCCGCGGCCGCAGCAGCGCTGCCGGATCCGGCCCCGCCCGCCCTCGGCGCCGCCTCCCGCTCCGCCCGCCGGGCTCGGCTGCCGGGCCGGCCCCGGGGCGGGGCGGCGGCGAGCGGAGGCACAGCCAGGTGACCTTGGCGGGCAGAGCCGGGCTGCGCCCGTCGCCGCCACCGGGGAAGCTGGGTGGGGAGACGGCCGAGATGGTGGAGGACGGCGGCGAGGAGGAGGCGGAGGGGGAGAGCGGCGGGATGCCGGCGGCCGCGGCCCCGCTGCAGCGCTGCAATGGCTTCCTGCCCGGCAAGGAGGCGGCGGGCGGCGGCCGGGCGGGCGGCGGGGAGCAGGCGGCCCCGGAGGCCGAGGAGATGCTGTCGGCGGGCGGCGTGCGGCCGGAGGCGCGGCTGGAGACGCGGCTGTCGCGGCGGCGGCTGGCGGTGCTGGCCGTTTTCAGCTGCTACTCGCTGGTGAACGCCTTCCAATGGATCCAGTACAGCATCCTCAGCAACGTCTTCGCCGGCTTCTACGGCGTCTCCTTCACGCAGATCGACTGGCTGTCCATGGTGTACATGGTGGCCTACGTGCCGCTGATCCTGCCGGCCACCTGGCTGCTGGATGCCCGCGGGCTGCGCCTCACGGCGCTGCTGGGCGCGGGGCTCAACGCGGTGGGCGCCTGGCTCAAGTGCGGCAGCCTGGCCCCCCAGCGCTACCCGCTCACCCTGGCCGCCCAGGCCGTCTGCGCCGTCGCCCAGGTCTTCATCCTGGGGCTGCCCTCCCGCATCGCCTCCGTCTGGTTCGGCCCCACCGAGGTCTCCACCGCCTGCGCCGTGGCTGTGCTGGGCAACCAGGTAGGGCCGCAGGGGAGCGAGGGGGGCTGCGGAGAAGTGGGCTTCCTTGGAGTTCGGCATCGAGTTAAAAACGTGGTGCTTAAGTGGGAAAAGGCTTTCTCCAGGATGTGGTCCTGGGGGAAAGTGGCCGGGAGAGTAAGCGGGGCTGCCCGGCCGGCCTGGCGTGCAGGAGCCGGGCCATGTGGCAGCGTGTGGCAGGCAGCTCACACATTTCCAGCAGCTGCCGGCAGTACCTCAGTCGAGAACCTTTACAGAAGTGGTTCTGCTCCACTTCCTCTTTCTCTTGCGTTTTGGCGCTTGGATTCATTTGACTGGATTCACCCCCGGTTGGAGGGGTATGAACTACGTGAACTTTCATGAAGAGCCCCAGCGACAACATATATCGGTTTCTGCTCTTTAAAATATGGCCTCTAATTGCCAGGTGCCAGTAGTCAATACCCTGGTGACTCCTGAAGTTTTGTGTAACGCTGTGATAGTTCACATCACTGTTGGGAGCTGATAACTGAGTCACGGATTTCCTCAAGCTCCCTGGTCCTGGCCAGTATCAGAGAGCTGGAACAGGTGCATCTGAAAGCACAGGTGCAGGTATGATGCTTTTTCCTCCTACAGCCTAATTCTCACCTCCTGCCACTGTCCCAGCGCTTTTTTTTTTTTTTCTCCTGTGGCAAAAATTTGTTTAGATTCAAATCAGCATCACTGATGCAGGCTGAGGTCATAGGTAGGGTTTGGTTAAGATAATGGGGGATTTGTTTTTTATCATGTGAGTCTAATGATTTTATGTTTGTGCACTTTGGATTATGACAGCAGTGACATTCATTTTACATATTTACAGTTAGGGTGTACCTAAACCTTGTTTGTAGGTCCTCCAGAATGGTTTTTTTTTTTTTTTTTTGCATCGAATGTTTCCAGTGTACAAGTTAACTATCTCTTTTGAACTGAAGATTTCAAAATATGTTAGTTGTTTCAGCAGTGAGGCAAAAATTTTGGATCTCTATCCTGGTATGAGGTTAAAGGTTTCTTTGGCAGCTAAATTTCCACTCTTCCTGACACGCACCAGTCCTCCCAGTAGCAAGGTGTTACCGGGTTTTCAGTTCTGCAGTGGAGTGTGAAGTATCCAGCTTGGAGCCTGAAACATGCTTCACTTGGATGCTGAGATGTGGGGTTGAAGTGGTGCAGGACAGGAGCAGGAGAGCAGGGATTGTGTGGATGGGGAACCATGAGAAGGATGGACAAGGGAAACAGGATCAGGATGTTAACAAAATAAGCTGTGGATATTTCTGGAGTGTATTCCCCTCCAGAAGCTAGTACTGATCTCAGTGTGCCTGCTTAAGTGCTTGCTGGTACTGTGTCAATAGAACAACAGAATTTCTCTGTTCTCGCATTTTACTTCCTTAAAAAAATCCCTAAAAACTCTCAAAAGCTAGATTGAAAGAGTAGCAAGAAGTTAGGCGCTTGGAAATTAGAAGTAATGTCTGTGTATCCCACTGCAGTTCCCTTCTGCACAGGCATTCCCGCTAGGTCTCACTGTACTGATAATTGCACAACGTGAACTGTGTAAAAGAACAAGTTGCTATAACCCACTCACTGCACTGATAATTGCACAACGTGAACTGTGTAATAGAACAGGCTGCTATAGCGCACCCAGCTGTTGGTCATTTAATTGCTTATCAGATTGCTTATCACACAGCTTCAGACTATGTGAAACTTCAGCGCTACAGTGAGCGAGGCCGGGATAGCAGGCAGGGCAGGAACAGAGCAGTTATCAAAATTTAGATCTCACTTCTTTGGAATGCTGATTGTTCTCAGCTGGAACACAGAGATCACTGGGAATGCAGCGATGTACCTGTCAAGGGTTGTTAGGAGTGCCAGATCTCCACAAGTATTTAACATCTTAAATGAGGCACACCAAACTCATTGGAAGACTTTCTTCTGGCCTTAACCTCTCTAGATGTAAATGATGGAAAATGCTGTCATTTGACTTTGTTGGAACATTGTGGGTACTGCACTGGCTCCTGTTGGGGGAGGAAAAAATAAACCTAAAGAAAAAAAGTGTGTGCTCAGTTCATGTTTCTAGGGTTCATGTACTGAAGAGTGAGGACAAAAGGAGACAAATTCTTCCTGTGACCACTGGATACTGTGTCAATATGATGGCCTGTGGGAAAAAATGTAGCAAACCCCTCATCAGGGTATGCACAAAGGGTGTTTTGTAAGTGCAGTGGCACACCTCTAATGTGCATGCTTTCTGATTGTTGGACTTGTTACTGTAACAGTCTTTGGTGCTCTTTTTTCATTTAATTTTACCTAAAATAAATGTTTCAACACTTTAAAATGCCGTTTAGTTTTGGGGGAGCAGAAGAGAGAAATTGAAGAATAGCCCAGGACTTGTTCCTTCATATTTTAAAATGCTTTACATATATATATACCCAAAATTTCAGTCCCTGTTTTATGTCTCTTTAATGCAAAATCAGTTGTTACATTGGAATTTACTCCACACACAAACCCACTGCTTCTTCATTCTGTGATTTTTATTTATTTCCTTAGCAATAATTGTTGAGTTTGGTCTTAATAAGGATATTCCTTTTCTCTGTTCTGTCTGTTCTTCAATAAACCTTGCAGGCAGGCTTTGTAGTGGCAGGAACATGACATCAAATGAAGAACATTTCTACAAGAGTAGCTGGAATCTTTTGTCATCTGTAGTCCTTCAGCTGGAGGATGACTGATACAAATTTATGTTCGTGCATGGTACTTTCACTTCCTGTGAAAGATTCTTGTATAAGTATGAAGATTCTTGTATAAGTACTATGTGTAGTGCAAATATATACACTAAGTGTGGTATTGTAGTTCAATTGAGAAGTGAAAAGGTTAAACCTGAGTTATGGAAGATCTGGTTGTAAAACAACATTGAGAGCAAGTGGCTCAGAAGTGTGATACTATGGTTTTATTAATGCTTATTATGATAACAATTCTGAATTCTACCTGGTAAGACTTTTCACTTCTGTTAATTTGTATGTTCAGAGGGAAATGATTTTTGGTTTTCTTTTCCTTGCTTTACAGCTTGGTACTGCAATTGGCTTTTTGTTGCCGCCTGTTTTGGTCCCAAATACACCGAATGATATTGATCTTATGGCACATAACATCAGCATCATGTTCTATGGGACAGCGATAGTGTCCACGCTTTTGTTCTTCTTAGCAGGAGTTGGTAAGTGTTTAAATTACTGGAATTTACATGCTGGCCACAGGGGGTGTTTACAACGTCTCACTTTTAAAACAGCTGACTGCTCGAAGTAGTTGAGGTTACAATTTTTCCAGTTTGTGTTCACTTACTAGTTGTGCCAGGGTTAAGCAACAGCCATTTCCCTCTATGTTGTGCTTCACATGGGGTGATTTCTTTCAGATTATTTAGTTCTCTTAGTTTCTTTGCTGCAAGGATTTATTATATAATGTAAATTCACTCTGTTAATCTTACAATTTATATACAAAGGTCCTGAGTATTGCAGATGAAGTCTGTCTTTGACCATATTTTGGTAGCAATCAGATGTGACCAGATAACAACACATCCTTTGTGCATGTGACTCACTTCTTCCATGAGAAAATGTAGATTTTTTTTTCTCGTGGAGTTGTTAAAACTACAAGTCACTCTCCTGAAATTCATCAAGCTGAAACACTTCCAAAAAAAAAAGCACATTAGTTTTGTAGAGATGAAGCAAAAATTTTTCCTTCTTCTTTTTCCCCAGTGTTTGAAGAAAAGCCCAAATACCCTCCCAGTCACTCTCAAGCAGTCCTGCAAACTAAACCTCCTGAGGATTACTCCTACAAGCAGTCCATTATTAACTTGTTCAAAAATATTCCATTTATACTTTTGCTAATCAGTTATGGTAAGTGGTGCTATCTCCTTGTAGTCTGGCAGGAAGGTCCAAATGCAGGCCAGAAGCACATAGAATTTTAATTGTGGGGTTTTTTTTTTACGGGGGAGGGAGTGTCAAGCTTTTATTTACTCAGGTGCCAGTGCTGGAAAATCCGTAAGGATGCAAAATATCACTTATAGGTCCAGTGAAGAGATTTTACCTGGCACATAAAAGGTTTTGTGTTGTGAGTCTTAAATGGCAGAAGATGACTTCTTTAGGGTAAAAAATCAGCATGGTTGCACTTGGAATAACTGAAGTTTTTTTCTTGGTACTGCAGGTATTATGACTGGGGCATTTTATTCTGTCTCCACATTATTAAACCAGATGATAGTAACTCATTATGAGGTAAGTTTCTTGGCTCTTATCTTTCTCTTTTCCACTGTACATTTGCAGAGGTGATATTTATTTTGTAGGTGCTATGTGTGCTCAGACATTTGGTTTCTTTTATACCTCTGTACAGTTTCTTGTGCCATACAGCTGTGGGAGTCATAGGAATGTTTGTTTGCACTTATGACTGCCAAGAGGTCTGAACTTGACTCTGAATGGAAGCAATTATTAATGAGCACCATATAAATATTTGTTGAAAGGGAGAAGAAGTGAACGCTGGGAGAATTGGCTTGACACTGGTGGTGGCAGGAATGGTGGGTTCGATTATTTGTGGTTTGTGGCTGGATTACACTAAAACATACAAGTAAGTGTGGGTAGGCATGTGTGGGGTTAGGGGTAGGAGAGTGGTGCAATTGCATTAGGAAAATGCTCCAACATAAGGGCTGAAATGAACTGCTGATGAAATGAAGTTGGTCCCTGACCTTCTAGTGGTCTTGATGGAGAGAAGTTTCTGCGGCTACAGCGAAAGCTTGAGACTCTTACTGGTTATTGGCTAAAAGAAATGAGGGAGAAGAATGCAAAGGGGTTTATCATCTACTCCTGTCTCTTAGGAGTGTAAGGAAAGCACTGTAGGTCCTACATACAGTGGCCAGGTGGCCCAGTGGGCTTCTTCTCCTAGGAAAGCATAAAGTCTCAAAGCCTGCCCTGCACTGTTTTGTAAAATGGCCAGCTGATGGATTCTTGATTATTTTATGCTACTCCTGATCCTATTAGTAAGTGTAATGTTTGTTTTAATTCAGGGGATGACCATAGAGCAGAGCTCTCTTCTGGGGTAGGAGCTCCTGGGTCCATCATCCATGGAGTGGTGCCCCCAGGAGCGAGCGCTGCCCTGGAGCACTGTTTGTGATGGAATAATTCTCCCCTGTGATTCTTAGTACATTGTGTGCCTCTACAAGCCTAATGGATGTTAATGCTGTAGATTGGCTTTGTTTCTGCGTGTGTTTTGGCTTACAAATATGTGCTTTAAGAATTTGGAAGACATCCCTTTTTCCAGATTCAAAATAAATAGAACACTGTAATGAGATTTGTTTGACTTGCCTCTTGGTAGGCTGACATTTATTGCTAATAGTGTTGGACTCAGCTGCTCCTGTGTTGATGTATTGTGTAATGGGCAGCACTGCAGAATGGCCAAGAGGTACAGCATAGCAGAGAACTAAAATAGTCTTAAGGTAGTAGTATGTGCTGTGATTGTCCATTCTTTGAGAGTTTGAGTAAGTGTCCTTAGCCTTGAGTGAAGCAGCCAGATAACCAAGACAATGAAGGGTTCAGTAATGGATGTGTGCTCACTGCATGCTAAGTTCGAGGCAGAATTACATGAAGCAAATTTTATAGCTTTAGCATGTAATGTTCGTGTTATCCTTCCATGCTTCAGCAATGTGCTGCGGCCTTCTATGAACAATGTTAATTTTTTGTTGTTGTTGGGTTGCAGGCAAACTACTTTGATTGTTTACATTCTCTCTTTCATTGGGCTGCTGGTATTTACTTTCACCCTGGACCTCGGATACCTTATAGTAGTGTTCGTGACTGGAGGAGTGCTTGGGTGAGCAATTAAAGAGCACTACAAGACTTACTGCAGTTCTGTTCTAAAACATATTTAAATGTTTTACCTAGATAATTCTACTGTGTATTCTGTCACCATGGTCTCAGCCTATGCCTTTAGCTCACAGTACAGATAGGGTTTCAGCTTCTGTTACATCAGAATAAAGCTAAAGTAACTCTTCAATAAATCTCATTTATCATTTTATGGAACTAAGAGAGGTCTCTATGAAGTCAATTTGTTTGGTTCCAATTCACAAAGCTGTCTGCAGTGAAGTTGAAACTTTCTCTTGACCAGTGTGTAGGTGATTAGTTTAACTGAGCAGATCTAGGAAAACTGGCTTCTCTGCATTTTCATTAATCTATACTTTGATAGCCCAAGCAACATGCTGGTTGCTTTGTTTGCTGTGCTCATAGATACCCAATCTAAAAGCCTCAAGAGGTGCTGAGGGAGTGTTGCTGTATTCAGACACAGAAGTTAAGATAAAACCAGAAAAGTCTTGAGAGTTTCAGTTTAAAAACCAATCAACCATCCTCCCCGGCATTGAGCCTCTTCTCTTCCCATCATTGATCGGTCCCCTCAGCTTCTTCCATTGCAGCTTCCAGCAGGTGTTCAAGTGTACAGCCCCACTCCCTACTCATGGGTTTTTTGTCCTCCAGCATGGATATTTGGGCTGATCAAATGATGATGTGTATGGCTTTCATATGAAGGTAATTGGCTTCAAGTATGGAGTGGCTTGCGGACTCCTTTGAAAAGGTTGTTTCATATGTATGGTGGTTATGGGAAATAAGACAAACATGCTTTAACAGCTTTGCCCTAAAGAGAAAGATGTGTGGCTAAAATTCTTGGATCACACTGAGGAAATGAAGCAGTCACTATTATTTGGAATTATTGAATTCTGTTAAGTCATGAACACATGACAATTCAGAATACCAGCTGATTCATAATACCGTGTGTGTATGTTAGGTTTTTTTAGCTGTAGTAACAGATGAAGACCACACCTGTCATCCTCTTACTCTCCTCTTCAACAGGTTCTTCATGACTGGCTATCTTCCACTTGGGTTTGAATTTGCTGTGGAAATTACATATCCAGAGTCTGAAGGCACTTCCTCAGGTCTCCTTAATGCATCAGCACAGGTTACAGCATTTTATTTCTTCAAGTGAAGTAATATTCAGGAATGCCACGATGCTCAAATCTAGGAAGGCTTTCTTAGACTTAGCTAAGTCTCTGTTTTGTTGCTATAGTCCTGGTTTTTTAAAATTTGATTTCTGTAAGATGTGACCTGGAACTTTTAAAGGTAAAATGATGACTCTTTTCTGTGGTCCTGATGAAGTTACTTGTTTGTTTACAGATATTTGGAATTATCTTTACACTTGTTCAAGGAAAGCTCACAACAGACTACAGTCCTCGTGCAGGAAACATCTTTCTTTGTGCTTGGATTTTTGTGGGCATTATTTTAACAGGTAATTACAAGTGCAAGTAATGGCTTCTCTTTAATGTAAAAATGTAGGTGCTTTTGGGATGATGTTGCTAATATATGGACAGCCATCTGACCCCGAATTCTTGAGACATGTCTTGAATTTGAGACAGATGTCCATCTCCAGAGTGGGGTGAGAAATAGAAACAAATGCACAAATGGAGGCAGTTTGCAGTTTTCCAAATGCGGGAAATTGCCGATGCACTCTGGAACTATGCCAGTGTTTATACATGGCGACTCACAAATGTGCTGAAAGTGCTGAACTATGAAGCTTTTCTTTAAGTGCTAGTGATTTAAAAGATTTTATTGTCAATTCCTGCTTTGTGTGCTTTGTGAGGAGCAAGTTCAAATTGTCAGTGAGTTCAAATTGCAAAAAGCGAATACAGGTATTTTGAAAACGTGCTGAAAGCAGTTTCTGTGTGCTTGCACCCTGCAAACATTTCCCTTGAAATGCATGTCACTGCAAAGGTGTGAACCAGCTTCTCTTTTTCCTTCTTTTCTCAGCCTTAATAAAATCAGATTTGCGAAGACACAATGTGAATTCAGGGATTATGAACTTGGACGTCAAAGCTGTAAGTGTTGACTCTTTTACTGTGATTGTATTACCTGCTTGAATGCTTGACTTCTACTGGCATAACAATATTAGCTGCAAAAGAGTACTTGACAAAATCTTATGACTGATCCCGTGCTGCTTTTGACAACAGAGCCACATGGGATGCTGCCCTCACGTATCTGTTTTTCTTCTTAAATCTCATGAAAAAAACTGGAAAAACTTCTGCTCTCAGATTTTTTTTTTTAAATTTTTGAGTATTTGAATTTTAAGTGGCTAATAATATTTATTTATTGCTTGAATCTTGCTTTCTCATAATAGCAGGGTAGCACTGTAAATTGTGAAGCCTTTTTGTTTATTGTTTATTTATGAAGCCATCCTATAGACTATGTATTTTATTTAAAATACCTGCAGTCCCTTCAGATGAAGTCAGTGTCTGATAAACAGAAGCCAGGCTGGAGTTTCTATGCAGTGCTGCATAAAGAGCTGTGTTTGTTCTTCTGCTGACACTCTCAATTTAAAGGAAGAGTGAGCATAGCATTTTCTGATGATCACAAGGCTCCATGTTTCAGCAGCTTTCCCAAACTACTACAGTTACTAGGAGAAATAAAGCTCTCAGTTGAAAATTTTTTCAGTGCTGTGGTTTTTGATTATTCGGATCAAGATATGAGACAGCTTTTTGGAGTCACACATCGCAAGATCCTCTGCCATGTTTATTTTTGTGTAGGTGTCTTACATGCCCAGCAGCTTTTGATCATCTGTGACCAACTGCACACTGTTAGTGTCTGTATGAGGTTCAGAAACCTCCGAACTGGTGCGGTCTGAGCTAACTTGAGCCTGAAACCCGTTCGCAGCTGCGTGTGCTCAGGGTGGCATCCTGTGGGTTTCCCAGCCAGGGTTGCGGCTGTGCGTGACTTATCTGCTTTCCATTATCACCTCGTTAACTAGCCTAGGTCGTCACAAGGCTTCGTTCATATTAGCCAGGGTGTAAGAAAAGCTGCAGTCCTTGCCCTGATGTTGCCATGCATGATTGAGACCTTCCTGTGTTAATAATGTTCAATATCACTTTGATACTGAACCTTGATCAAGATTCTACTGTGGTTAAATGTAAAGGAGAAAAAAAAATGGGAAGTTAATCTTTATGTCACAGATATTTATATGCAGTAAATATACGCTTTAGAGTTATACTAAGAAACTAAACTCTATGTTTGGTCTCTTTTTTTTTTATTACAAAAAGAAGTTAAAATAGGATTTTATATAATTTGCTTAATTGGGCTAATTAACTAGTTGTACTGTTGGAGCCTAACCTAATAATTACCCAAAAAATACTGAGTTTGAGAATAATTCTGTTGAATAACAGCTTAATTCCTGTTGTGTTTTTACTTTTTTCTCCTTCTTCAGGTACCAGTTGACAGTCCTGTAGAACCTGAAAGCACTACATTAAAGATTCAGTCAGCTTTATGAAGCTGAAGGAAGGTGACTCAGAAACGCACAAGTTTGGTTAGATATGGAATGATATGAGCTAGTGTAATCACTGGATTTGTGTGTACGAGTAGTGAAATGTGTTTGTTGATATTGGTGGTAGTTGTGTACTGGAAGCTATGAAGATGCTCAGTTCGTTTTGCTCGAGATACAAACAATTCACCTTTGTATGGAATATTTATTTTAACATTTTCAAGTCTTGCAGTTTCATTAGTAAAGAGCTGTGTGAACACTCTCCGTGGTAGGGAGACGTGCATTCAGGATGCATACTTGAAAAAAATCAGGAATCTTGAAGTACAGTTGTCATGATCAGATGTATCTAATCTTCTTTTCTTGTTCAGTCTTGCTGGTGCATTTGAAAAGTCAAAGAGTAGGGAAATGCACATCAGGAGGATGTTCACGAGTTCATTTTTTATTTTAAATGTATCTGTATTTGAATATAAGCCAATGATTCCTTCTGGAAAAGTGATAGCACAATACTGAAAACAAGAGATGATGTATGTGTTTCATACTGGCATCTGACATTTCTTTTGCCTTGAAACTTCTTTATAGGTATCAGAAGGCAGATAAGAGAAAACACTGTTCTTGCTATAGCTTCATTGTAGCATTTCTGGGGAGATTTAAAAAGTTTCTCACTAGATAAATTGGAGAAAAAACATTTCTTATTAAATACAGTAAAAAGGAGGACAAATGCCTTTGATATCTCTATTATGAAATATTTATAAGCAATGGAACACTACCACACAAGTTTCCTCCATGGAATATTTTGAGTGCTTTCTCAGTTAAAGAGAGAGGAGTATGTGTTTACAAAGAGCCAGTGCCTTTACTTTGTAAAGAAGATCCCTGCCTCATCTTGAGTTTAATCAGTGCTGCTGAAGAAATTCCATTTTGTGTGTTAAACTTCTGAATATTTGTGGAGTATCAGAAAACGTGTTCTGTCCTTTTTATGAATTGTATCACTTGTCTCATGTGAAATTCCTGTGCTTGTGTAACTTAAATCATTTATTTTGTGGTTTGTTAAAAGCTATAAGGATGACTGAAAAGAAAATAATGATATTTTCACTTTTTCTGATCAAGTATTTTCTTTTATACCATCTTAGCTGCTAAATGAGCAGACATTATTAACAGTAACTTTTTGTTACTTCATTTATCTGGATTTGGTATGTGGGTTTTTCAGTGCAGTGCTTTTGAAAATTTTCTCCTTTACCTTGTGCTCTATCTACACACCCACAGAACTGATAGCACTACAATAATACTATTGCTGGGAAAGTCAGACCTGGGTTAGTGGACTTTTTGGAAACATTTCATTTTTAGCTCAGCAAACTGAGCCTGCAAGTTCAGTGCTATCAGTGGTGCTGTGTCTTTGAGTTCCCACAGATGCAGTGCCATCCAGAAGGTGGAATCCTACTTGAAGTTTTCCACAGGTTTTAACAGTTGGGGATGGGGAATTATTTAACTCTGTGCTGGTTTCAGCTGGGCTAGTTAATTTTCTTCACAGTGGCTGGCATGGGGCTGTGTTTTGGATTTGTGCTGAACACAGGGTTGATAACACAGAGATGTTTTATCCTTGCTGAGTAGGGCTTACACAGAGCCAAGGCCTTTTCTGCTTTTCATACGTCAGAAAAGGCGAGGAAGCTGGGAGTGCATGGGATGTTGGGAGGAGACACAGCCAGGACAGGTGACCCCAACTGACCAAAGGGATATTCCAGACCATGTGACATCATGTTCAGTGTATACAGTGTATACAGAAGGAGGAAGGGAGAGATGTTTAGAGTAATGGTGTTTTCTTCCTGAGAAGCCATTGCAATTGGTGGGGATGGCTGAACACCTTACTGCCCATGGGAAGCAGTAAATTAATTCCTTGTTTTTCTTTGCTTGTGTGTGGCTTCTGCTTTCCCCATTAAGCTGCCTCTCATCCCATGAGTTTTCCAGTTTTTACCCTTCTGATTCTGTCCTCAATCCCACTGGTGGGGAAGGGAGTGAGCAAGTGGCTGCCTGGGGCTTGGTGGATGGCTGGGGTTAAATAACAACAAACTCCAAGATAGTCTCTAAGTACAATAAATATAATTAAAAGCTTTTCTTTTTCTTGTTTTGCTGTAGACTCAGGAAAATCCTTTTGTATAAAAAGGGCCCTGAAAACTTATCTTTGTAAGCTTAGCCTCTAAATGTGATGATCTTGATTTAAACATTTTGTATAATAAATGCTTTAGACGGGGAAAGGCCTATCAGAATAAACAAAGCACACTTGGAACACTTGCCTTGCCAAAAAGGGTTCATGTCTCTTTGCTGGGTCCAGTGCTAGGGAGAAAATGGCCAGGCCTTGCTGCTCCTGGGCGGGTCAACTCTAGAAGCTGAAGCAGCTGAATATAGGAAAAGTCACTCTTGGCTATTCAAATGGCAGGCAAGGGTATAGGAGTGAAAGTAGAGATGCTTTCAGTATGTGAGTCCTTTACATTGAAGCTGCCCCATCAAGGGATGTGCAGGTTTTCAGCCTGACTCAGAAAAGTGAAAGTTTCTGCCTTGTGACATATATGGGTGGCTTTTCCCTTTGAAAAAATGATAATAACATGTGCCAAAAAATATATATGTTTTTCATCAAGATATAGATCCAGAAAATATTTATGTTCATGGCCATGCATGGTTGCTTTGACTTTTGGTGTTGCAAAATCTTAACAAGATAATATTTTTGTAGTTTTGGGGAATTGTTTTCAAATTCCCCAGTAGAAAGTCTTTGGCAGTATCCAGGATGTTTGCTGACCTGTTCAATATACACTGCTCAAAATGAAAGATTGAGTATTTTTGTTCCATTCTTAAAATTTATTTTTTAATTCCTTTCTTTACTGCTAGTTTCCAGTTTCTTTAGTTATGTTCAGCTGATTATTGAAAAAATATTCTGGTTCTGGCTCCTTGTTTTATCTTCTGCCAAATTACTTGGCTACCTTCTGAAAAGGTTGAAAGAAGATTTTGGCTTGCTGGAAACCCTGCTGGGTCCCTGAAAAGAAAATATTCCTAATAGTGAAGGCTTAATTACATCCTGGATTTAATATTCCCCTTCTAAAAGGAGCTTGAAAGTTGGAAACCTATGAGCTATTTTCAGGCAATGATAAAGCATTTAAATGAAAGGCTCAGCTGCAGAATAAAAAGCAAATAAAGAGCAAAACAGTATTTTTTTATGCAATAGTCTTATCATCTGTCAAAAAATCGAGGTTCTAGCTCATGGCAGAAATAAATTTGGAGTAATTTAGGCTTTGTGGTTTTTGCTTTTAATTTTTGGATTTTAGCAGAAAACATCCACTCAATCAAGCATAAAATCATAGCATGTTAAGAGGTTGGAAGGGACCTTAAAGTTCATCTGGTCCCAACCCACCTGCCATGGGCAGGGACACCTCCCACTAGACGAGGTTGCTCAAGGCTCTATCCAACCTGGCCTTGGACACTGCCAGGGTTGGGTGTCCACAACCTGCCTGGGCAACCTGTTCCAGTGCTTACCATCCTCACAGTAAAAAATTTATTCCTGATATCTAAATTAAATTCCCTCTCTTTCAGTTTGTACCCATTCCCTTTTGTCCTATCACTACAATTCCTGACAAAGAGTCCCTCCCACTTCACTGTAGTCCCTCTTCAGATACTGGAAGGTTGCTATGAGTTCTCCATGCAACCTTCTTAGCCTGGAAATTCCACATGCATTTGGAATTGCACATAGGGTTTCTGACTCTTAGCCTTCAGACCCTGGCTCAGCCCCCCAGCAAGAGTAGAGTTGAGGGCGAAAAATTCTAGCTGCTTAAAAAAAGTAATTGTATCATGAATTGAATTGCACATCAGCTAGGAGAGGATGGTGTAAGAAACGAGAACAAGCGAGAACAGGCATCCCACTCCCATGCATCAGCTTTTTCTTTTCAATTTGCTTTTTTTCCGCCTGTTTCAGGAGAGCTCTGGAGGATGCAAGAGAACACACACAGTGGGGAGCATAAACAAGGGAACTGCCCCCAAGTTCCCAGGAGCTCAGCAGGTTGTGCAGTTGATATCTTGCAGCTACAAAATTCGGAGATTAGCGTTCTTACCTGTGTGGTTCTTCCCAGCCACAGTAAACTTTTGGTCATTTCAGTGGAAGAGACTCAAGAGAGCATTGACACATTTTTATTTAGGATTCCTGCCACAGCCTTAAATCCCTCATTTGTACTGGCTGGGTGTGAAAATACCAGACCTGTAGGATAGAGTCTGGAATTGCTGGTAGGTAAGTGCCTCAGAACAAGTATTTGTAGATGGGTGTTTGTCTTTAGTAACATCTCTTTCTGTTGCTAAATGCCCATGGTTTACGAGGAAGAAAGAACAAGGGAGGAAGTAGCAAGAATACATATAAATAATTGCAGATTAATAGGGATGTCTTGAGAGGCTAGACAGTGTTAAAGGAGTAAAGTACGTATTTGTTAAAAAGGCCTTCAAAGGATACACCTTGGGCAGTACAACAGCCCAGCCAGGGCTACACCCAAAATGGATGATGGGTCACACGTTTTCACACTTTTATAAGTTTTGGTCCATGTACATTTTGGGGTTAATTGTCCAATTACAGCTTCAGGTTACGAAGTCCCATCCTCCCAGATTGCTCTCCTCAGTTATCTGTTGTTTATATCTTTTGGGCCCAAAGCTGCAATGGTGTCCTTGGTTCTCAGGCTGGAAAAGGATTGTTTTGTCAAACTAAACTGTGAAGAGAATTTGCTAACACTTTATATAAACTTCAGAGTTATATACTAATGCAGTACAGAACTAATACAGTACAGTATAGGAAGATATGAAAGCTAAAACTTAAGACATCCATAGGGCTTTTCTAACTTCAGCCTCTTGGTCATCTCTTTTGTTCAAGGCAGTATGTGGTTTCAGAGACAATCAGTGGAGTGTGTAATCAGAGCTGCCAGCCCATATTGCCTAATGAAACAATGGGTTTTTGAGAAATATTTGTACTACCTTCTGCATCTACAACCAAGTGAAATTGGGTTAAGCTGTAAACATTTGTTTTCCTTTTCCATGTTGTGAACTCACTAGTTTTTCTGTGTGAATGGGAGTGTGTGACCTTTACAGTTGTTGTCTTTCAATACATGTATGTACCTCCTCAAGTGTTACAGGCTATTGATGTTTCATGGAGCACAAGCTGTCATTGTACACAATAATATGTGATTGCTCCCAGCCCCACCATTTGGTCTGAATTCTTTGAAGAGGAAAAAGTGATTTTAATGCAGGAACTAGAATGAATTAAGCAAAAAATTTCCTAAGAGAAATGTATTTCTGTGTAAGACCCGTGTTATTTACTGCTCATGCCTTTGTTCTACTCATGAAGATAACAAATGTGTTTTGCTGTAGTATTTTGGTTTTGTTAGTGTCCAATTTTTTATTTCAAGAGAAAATTAAAAGTTCCTAATGAATATTCTCTGATTGCAATACTGTATGTATGTGTATATGTGGATGGCATCATTCCTTACCATTCTGTTACTAATAAAGTGTATAATGCCTAAATTGATTGGAGCCAAGAGTAATATTTTTGACAGCTGCTAATCTAAAAGTGATTATTTTTTTCCTTAGAACCTGCCTTTTAATGTAGGAAAATATATAAGTGTATGACTTATTGTGTCATTAATAAACATACATGTATATGCAGAGTGCATGTATGCAGGGTATAGAAATTTATTTTACACAAGAGTATTGGCATCCAGAGACATTTTCTTGGGGCATGGAATTAAAATACTACCATTGGTAGCCGAGTTGTACTGCTCTAGCACAGAGATTTCTCCTCTGCTTTGGAAAAGGTCTATGAGGAAATGAAAGGGCAAGTTATCCCCTGAAGCAGAGTGATCCAAAGGCAGCTCCTTGAGGATAGTGCAGATATTATTTTAATAAAGCACTTAGCTGCCTAGAGATTATATGGGGAGAGAGGGTAGGATAACTTCTGAGACAGGATAGAAGTGAGACATTACATTCAGTTATGGCTAAAATCAGAGTTGTCTTCAGTGGGAGCACAGCAGAACCCTTGTGAACACTCTGCAAGGGTTCTGTCACCTACCTTCAGGCATTTAGCCCAGGTGTGAGCCAGGCAAATTTGAGGAAACTGCTTCAAAGTATGTAGAGTCGTGGTAAGAAAATGTTTCATTTTTTTTAAATCTCACTTCTCCACAAAGCTGGGATTCTCTCTCAGCTATTTTGGTGTAGGAGGTGCTTCACAGAAGGAGGTTGCATGTGCTGCAGAGCACAGAAAACACAAGCCTTGTGTCATAAAGCAACACTGATATGCAGTTCAACGCTGGGTTGAACTTTCAGGTGGGTTCTTCATTTTACAACCAGGACCACAAGGTCATGTTCCTCTTACGGTACCTCTATGAAAGCTGCAGGCAATATCCCCAGTTAGCACTGTAATTTAAACATTCCCACAGCTAGGAAGGAACAATCCCAGAAAATTATTATTGTCTAAAGTTTCTTTGGCATTGGAGTTTTGGGGTTGGTCATTTTATTTCTTTTTTTTCTGGATAGATTCTTGGTCCTTCCAAGAAAACACTAGAAACCTCATCAGGTAAATGGGAAATGTGAAGCCATCCCAGCTATGGTTAGTCAGATAATCATTTCTGTAGCTGGGAGGAGGCTTTGTGATCCAAAGCTAACAATTATTACCCCTTCCAGAAAGTGATGTGGTTTGTGCATGGATAAAATAGGCAGATGTCTAACAGTCCAGCTGCTTCCTGGCCTGGAAAGGTTTCTTAGTACTCTGCTGGATTTCCTTCTGTCTGTGCTTCACAATGAGCTAACCCTATCTGACCATGTTCTAAATCAATATTTACAGCTCTATTAAACAACAACTTTTCAGAAAACAAAACAATAATATCCTGAACTTTGTAGAAAGGACTTCAGCACATATGTCACAAAGGCTAAGTATTGGCAATGGTTAGGCATAATTACTGATTTGTGAGTAATTATATATTTGTGAGTAAGGAGCTAATACCTGCTTAATGTCAGGGATCAAAATTTGGCCTCTAGGATGCTAATTTCCAGTGCTTCCTCAGTAAACTGCTTCTGCTTGTAACACTGCTTAGACCATTAAAAAGGCAGTAAATACTATCTAAAGGGCATTGTCAGTATTGTGGACTTGTGTTACCAGTTTCCCGAAACAGACACAAGACTCTACAAAAGCTACAAACTCCATGCAGATGGAAAATCCTGGGGAAGTATTGAAAGGTTCAGAAGCTTTTCTAGCCTGTATTAGGCTGAACCAGAGAGTTCCCACTTTCTTTTTTCAGAAAGGGGGAGACCTAAGGTTTTTTAGATGTTGATCACTAGTTTGGTTAAGGTAATAGAGGGAGTACAGGTGACTGCAGAATCAGTAATTCTTTTAGAAATCAAATTGTCCAGCTTGCTGCCAAGAGAAAAAGAAGTTAAAATATAACAGTGCAGCTTCCAAGGCTGTGCATGGCGTTTTCTCCACTAAATATTGGAAGGCAACTTGATTTTCTCAGAATAATTCATCAGCTAGTTCTGAACAACCCTGCAGGCATTAGACAGAATGTACATCCTGTGTGGAATGAAGAGGCACTGTCCCACAGGAGTGAGAATGACTCACCCAGAGATCATTAACAGGCTCCAGGGAACTTGAATTTGTGTTATCTTCTGCTCCCAATGAACAGCTGAATTTTCTTTGGGCCCTAATGCTAAAAGCCTGAAATTCACTTAGAGGCTACTGCCTAAAGCCTAGAAATACCGTGATTTCTCATCTTGTCACTGCCCCACTGAAGCTTCAAAAGGGTAGAGAAGGCCTCAAAAGCTTGATGAAATTGTCTGAACCAGACTGTCACCAGGGGAGATACAGAGGTTCCCCTGCTTTTGGGGGACAGAATGCTCCATGGTCAGTGTAATTTTTCTCTGACTTACTTCATCTGCTCAGAATGTGAGAATCTCATGAGGGTTGAAATGTCTGTTGCACTGAGAACATTAGGGAGTCTCCTTGAAGTCCACAGCTTGTGTGATTACACAGCATTCCTGGGTTTGATTCTAAAGCCAGAAGGTGCTCTGTAGGCTTCAGTTTGCTCTGAAGATTACTATCATTCATGTCATGGCAAATAATGAAGACGGCTGAAAAAAAGTAATTTTGCTCCAGATGACTGTATTTCCTTTAAGAGCTTTATTTTTTAAATGACTGTGGTATTTGAATTTTACTGTCACCTTCAGGTACTTGTGGAGCATTTTGATTACTCTTCAATCATTCTCTGGAAAGGGGGACTCTTAATCTGCAGAGCACTGTCTCTCAGGGATGCTTGAAGTGATGCTTCAGATCAAAAATTGTTTGATGAAATCATCAGTGTAGTCATGACACTTTGTAGCACCATGGCATTGAGAACAGTAAATCACACATTTCTCTTTGCAGTTTTCACACAGCATCTCGATTCAAAGGCTTTTGGTGTTTGGGCTTGTGACACATTCTATTGCTAGGCCTAATAACTTTCCCAGTCTACTTTTCTTTCTTTCTGGAAAGAAAATGCATTTGAGGAACTTAAATACATAAGGATGACATTTGGTCAGTGTTTCCTAACCAGCATCATACTATTCCTAGAGGACACAGGTTATCCAATAGCAGAACTAGACTGCTTAATTGATTTCTGATCAGCAACAACAATTGTACTTCTAACCTCAAGCAGGCAGGGGTTTATTGCAGTACATTCCTCTCTCCACGAAGGCAGGGATGACTCAGGTGTTCACTTGGCAGTGGAGGCAAGTCCTGACTCTCACCTCTGGTGCCACCACTGGCAGCTCCTTTGTGACAAGGCCTGTGGGAGCTGACGATTGCAGAATAGCAATCTCATTTCTAGGTACCAGCTTTTTTCAGCCACTACCTGTATTTTTATTATGCAGTTCCCCTGGGGGAAAAAAAAAAAAAAGAAAAAAAAAAAGTGATTGTGCTGGGTAGTTTACCCTCTGACAAAACGTCAAGGAAGTAATTAGTAAAAAAAAAAATATTGCCAATATTCATGGAAGGTTACATTAGTGTTTTCTTGTTTTTGTAAGCAGAGCTTGCTGCAGAGGTACAAATCATGTGATATGATGTCAAGTAAGACCTTCACAGTAAACAAGCTACTGCAATGTTTGAGACTGAAACTTTGGAACAAGACAGGAGTAAGGCAGGCTAATTGGGATGCTAATGTTGTACCACTCAGGAACAACAGCTTCACCTCTATCTGATGCCATCAGTTGTAGACCAGAGTGAGGTGACTGCAGAGTGAGGAAGTATGGAAAAGGTTATTTTACTGTCAGCAAAGGGTCAGTCAGGTTACTAGGACATGCTGACCTGCAACTGGGAGTGGAAAGTGAAAATTTGCAAACCAGTTTTGGGGAAGGTCTGATTTATAGGCTTTTCATGACACTTTGATTTTTTTTTTAATGCTTTTAAAAATCTTTTTTATTGCAAGGAAATCTTGCCTGTTGGACTATCTGAGAACAACCGGAGCCCATCTAGCCCCATCTAAAATAAACACTGTAATGTAGAATTATTGCAGGAGATCCTGTACTTGCTCAGGTAGAAATCAAAACATGCTGCTGAAGTTCTTCATTGGTGCAGCCAAAGCAGCTGATGGCTGGTTTTTCTGCTAGACCATTGCAAAATAAACAGTGTGTTAAGAGTTCTCAGAAAGGGCTACCTTGGGGAAAGCTCCAAGGAAGCACACCCTCAGGAATTTCTTTTATAGCTTACTTTTTTTAAGTCTGCTTTAGATATTTATTTTCCCAGTGATCACAGGGAAATTCTATGAGTACAGAAAGTTATTCTTATTGGTTATGCAAATCGCTCCTGCAAACTTGTACCAACAGCCATTCCCACATTGCCATGGTTACATCCTTACCACAGTTTAACCTTTCATTTCATCACTAAAAAAATCCCACTCCAGCATAATGTTAAATTTAGGGAAAAAGCCCCAAACAAACAAATTTTATATTCCTTTCAAAGGATCAGATGAGGTCACTATGGTCTTTTCAGGAAATGGGCCAATATTTGCATTGCAATAATGCAATTTACTTAAAGCAGGCAAACTTTCTTGACCTGTGTTTTTCTGCTGCCCTCTGCAAAGCTGAAGCACCCATGTAGGATTAACCATTTTGGACTGCAGCCGCTCTGCTGGCTGCTAAATGCAGAAAAAGCCATTAAGATCACTTGGCCTGACTTTAGCAGAACAGTGTGCCCAAGCTGGTGTCAGGAAAATCCACAAAAGCCAGAGGTTTATGTCCAAAAAAGGAGATGGAGGAATCCTGCAACTTTACTCACTTAAAGGGAGGGAGTCCACCGGAGCACAAGCCCGCAAACTTTTCTCTCCTCAGGTTTTGGAGGGCGCAGCCTCCTTTTATCCTAAATTCCCGGTTGCACATTGCCCCCCGCCTTCCCCGTTGGCTGAGGCACTAGGAAGGTACAGCCTTCCCGAACTGTCTACCACGTATTCCCCCCTTGAACCTACTATTTTACCCCAAAGTTCAAAAGCTCAGGCTTGTGCAGACTCCCACTTTTTTGTTTCAGGAGCCGAGCTGCCCGGGCTCTGCGAGGAACCTGCTGCCCGCAGTTAGTAGAGACATTAAGCCCCTTTTCAAAGATGTTAACACCCACACCTTCACCCATGAAATTGTGTGTAAAGACATCAGCTTTCCTCTTACTGGGAAGGTATCCAGGCTTCAGCTTTTGCACTGAGTGTTGCCAGCTGGAGGTACTGGGCACGTTTCCTGCTCCACCAGTAGCTAATACTGGTACAGAGTTGGTGTCCACTTTTACTGACCTGGGAAACAACCCAGGTCCAGATCTGTCCTGTTACCATCTGATGGAAGGAAGGAAGAAAAGATTAACAAGCTTTTGCTTCCCAGCACTGCCTTGGATGGCAGCAGATTTGAACTCTCCCTTCTTGTACAAAAGAAAACAACTTCTGCTCCTAGGAGGGTTGGAACAAAACGTGTCTCCTGCCCCTGCTGGCTGGGCTGCTGGAGCAGCTCCCCTCTGCCTGCCTGCGGAGGCATCAAAGCAAATGCACCAGGGCCAGCTTTGTGGCGTGGCTGTGGCTCTGAGAAGGGTGCTGCTGTGGACTGGGACCCGGGGAATTGCCACATGGCCTGGCTTGGAGGGGTCCAAGGTTGCAGAGCCAGGGCTGGCCAGGCAAGGCAGGGACAATGGCAATCTGCTGACCAGCCCATCTTTTGCTGCAGGGCTGCTGCTGGTCTTGTTTCACTTCTGGGTTTGTGGCCCTGGTAGCACAGAGCAGCATTCCTGTTCACAGCGAGAAGTATTTTCATGTAACAAGGTTTGTTGATAGCAGAGTCTGGACAAGGCATTACAAAGGTCTTAGAAAAGGCTGGATCTGTGCTGGCAAAAGATCTGCAGGGCAGAAAACCACTGAATTTCCAAGCAGCAAAGCAGGAGTGTGAGACCTCGCTGGCCACGAGACAGCAAATGATACCAGTCATCCTTCCCCAGCCTGGCTGCAGCTCCCTCTTCGGAGGCCAGGTCAGGCTGGAGCTGCTGCCCAGGAAAGCCTTCTCCTGCTGGCTCCTCGCACAAGAAGGGCTGTTTGGAAACAATGGGTAATAGAGGAAGTGTTTTCCCAGACAAGTCCAAATAAATACATGAATGAACTTCCTCTGCTCAATATCACAGGGCAGTGAGGGTTTGCTGTGTGGCTGGGCTGAATTCATTGCTGTTTGCAAGAGAATGCTCTCAGAGGAAGAGGACAGTGGGACTCTTTGTGGGGGTGTGGGGGTGGCACTTTGGAGAAGAAGTCTGCTTGGAAAAAGTGCCAATGCTGATATCACCTTGCTGCCATGGCGCAAATTAAGAGCTATTAAGTTTCCTGCACTTGCTTGTGTAATTGCACTGCAGGGCCTTTTGAATGCTGCATTTAAATGAGTCTGCAATTGGAAATAATGAAGGTTAAAACCCTCTTACATGATGATTCTATGATCAAATTAGTTCCTTTGACCCAGAAAGCAGCTGTGGTAGCAATGAGCTCTGCACGAGGAGTAAGACTGTAGATGGAGGTGCTGTTCAGAGCTAGCTTTAGAAAGGTACATCCATACAAAGTGACTGAATTTCAAAGTCAAACAGGTCTGGCACACTGGGACAGAGGCTGGGCAGGAACCTGGTGTGAGAGGAAGACCTGAAAACAGAGGAAGGCAGCTTTGCCGAGAGTCACGGTATCAAAATTAGGTGGCCCTGTGAGGTGAAAGCCATGAGATACTGGGGGCATGATGCATATCCCATCCTGCTTTTACTCACCTTCAATGTCTGTTCATAACTAATACCAGGGAGGGCTTTGGCTAATCCAAAGCAGCCTTATTCTATTTTTACACTTAATTTGTAGCTGGTGAGAGGGTTATTGAGACTTTCCCTTAGTTGCAGGGACTTAGGAACTCCACTTTTATTTCCTTAGGCTGTTGCTTTGAAGTTGCCTTTAGCTCCAGGACCTCAGCTAATTTCTGCCCTGCCTGTTCAGCCCACAGCTGGCCTTGGACACACTGACTGACCTCTGGGAGTTCAACTTGTCACTCTTCTGCCTAAGCAACAGGTAAGAATTTTCTTTCACTTCTGATTGGAAGTGGTCCGAATGCTGCAGACTGCTATGAACAGAGCTGTGATGTCTAAACCTTGCCATGCCCCTTACCTGTCTGGCCAGGGAGAGTCCTTCCCTCTGGCATGGAGCACACCCTGACATGGTGGATGCAGGAGGCTTTGAATTGCAAAGCACGTAGCATCACTCTAATCTTCACCCTTTCAGGGTGGCTAAGAAGTGGGTGGGTGTAGGAAAACACAATCTGAAGGTTCCTGTCTGGTCTGGGCAGTGAAGCAGCACTGAATAAGGCTGTGACAGCCTCAACATAGTTGCCTGTTCCAACAGGCACCATAGTATACATGGGAATACATGTGACTGCCAGCTTGTGTATCAGCATCCTTGAGGATGACACTCTGCTGGGTAATCCCAGCACTCCAGGCTCTGTCACATGCAGTGTGCCCCTCAGCTGCTCACACATGGATGCCACCACCTGCACTGTTCCATTAGCTCTAAGATCCAGGTCTGAATGATTTTCAGGCTTTCTCCTGGCTCTGCTCCAGTGAACTCACAGATTTCCTTGGCCTTCCTTTCCTTGCACTGTCTTGCCTGAACCTCTCTTGGCTCCTTGAGAGCCCTCTCCTCTGTGTCCACTGTCATCTGCAGCCTCTCTGGGTGTCTGTGCTTCATCATCTCCCATCGGGAGCTCTTCTTGGTGCTCTCACATCTTGCTGATGTTCAGCATCATCTACACTGCAGAAAGAGAGACTGTGCTTCCCCTGGGATCCTGCTTCCAAACCCAGCAGGGTGTGTGTGTGTGGGTGTGTGTGTATCATCTCTGCCCAGCATGGATGTGCATTTTCCCCCCAACTGCAGTGTTTGCTTGATTAGGGAAATGCAGGACATAGTGGAAAGGGTGAAGACTTCACAGTAGCTCTAAATCCACTCTGACCTTTACCCCTTTCCCCCAGATTATGTTGCCATTTACACACAGAGTCCCGACATTCAGCTCGGGGAGGGTCCTACACCGAAGTCTCTTGGGTTGAAAGCTGACTCTAGGCAAGCCATGTAAGCTGAAGCCCTTGATTTGCTTTAGCTGACGGAACAGATTTTCACTGTCCTCCCTTCTGTTAAACCCCCTGATGAGATTCTGGCATACCATGTGGCCAGGGGACAGCAGGGAGGATTACTGGTAGGACTCACAGAGACGTCGGCTCCTGTGGAGAGTGATTAGCAACTCATCATACACTCCTGGCTCCTGAGAGCCTTCGGGAAGCTGATTAAGGCACCGCAGAAATTTATTCCTGTCTGGGAGCAGGGGAGATCAGTGCGGCAGCAGTATCTGAGCGCATGGTCAGGCGATGGGAGCGATGTTTTTCAGACTATTTGATGGGGGTCACTCATAGGTCTAGGAGAAGCATTGCACTGACACTGTTGTGCTTGACATGAAGAGCTGAAAATTCCCTCCGAACGTGGCTGTGGCCATCAGGGCACAGTGGCGCTGGAGCGGGCAGCACCGCCAGGGAGGTCTCTGCCCACCCCTCTCTGGTGCCCCTCTCGGCAGCCCTTTGCCCCCAGGATCTCACTGCCACCACCGTACCGCTGAGTGCTTAACAGGGCGTCTTCCAGCTCGGCTGGGACGAACGGAACAGCCCGGCTCTCTCCGAGGAGGACTCCATCCTCCGGCGTCCATCCCGCAGTGGGGACCGGGACGCACGGCTGGGCTCGGGCTGGCCTGAGCTGGGCTCGGTTTGAGGGGATCGCCTCAGTTCGGAGGGACCAGGCCCCGCGCTGCTGGGCCGGGCTGGGCTCGACCCGGCTCGGCGCTGCTGGGTTCGGCTGGGCTGGGCTGGGCTTGACCCGGCTCGGCCCGCCTGGGTTCGGCTGCGGGCGAAAGCGCTCGGACTGCGCCGCCCGCTTGTGGTGTCCCGCGTTGTCCGGCAGGGAGCGCCTCCCGGCGGCGTCTCCGCCAGGGGCGGCCCGAGCAGCCGGCGTGCGGCGGCCGGCAAGGAGGGCGGCCGGTCGCGGAGCGCCCAGCCGCGGGCGGCGGGCGGTGGCGGCGGGAGCGGCGGGGGCTCGGAGGAGGAGGAGCAGGAGCAGCAGCGGGACGGCGGCTCGCTCTTCCTGGTGAACAAGAGCGGCTTCCCCATGGACGGGCAGACCTGGGAGCGGATGTGGGGCCACGTGGAGCGGGTGCACCCCGACGGCGGTGCCGTGGCGGCGGCCATCCGGAGCGCCGCCCGCCTGGCTCGGGTAAGGCGAAGCTGCCGTGGGTCCCCTCGTGCGGGAGGAGCGGGTGACGCCGAGCCCGAGGTCGGGGGCCGGCGGCTGCCGCCCTCTGTGCGCGTCGAGCGGCCGGGGAGGCTCCAGGGCCGGGTGCGAGGGTGTGACACCGCAGCCCGGGGGATGCTCTCGGGGCACTGGGGAGAAGGATGCATTTCTGCGTCTGCTGTACGAAAGCGCTCAGAACGGACTGCGGGGGCTGCGGGGTGCTCAGGGGCTGCAGTGGGTGTCCTGGAGAACAAGCAGGAAAAAAATCACTCCTTTTTGCTTGGGGAGAAAAAAAACAGAAAACAAAAGTTAAAAGAAATCTTCGGGAACTGAGTGAAGCAGTTTGTGAAATTTAAAGCAGGTTTTTCTTTTGCTTTTGGAACAGTAGGGTTTCCTTAAGCACAATGTTGCTCCTCAAATGTAACAAGGGATTTAAAATTCAGACATTTCTTTTCCAGTATGTGGAAAGTTTCCAAATGCTTTTCTCTGGTACGTTCCTCAGCCCCAAATAGCTCTGCCTCACCCAAATCTTTTTCCTCCAGACAGCAAATAAAATGTTGAGGTCTGCTGTAGTTGCAAGGCTTCTTGACACTGTGCTGTATTACTGATCACAATGTCTTTAACACTCTCTGCTTTGGCAGACTTTGAGCTTGATTCCCTCCTCACATCAAGCAGCATTAATGTGAGCTGACCGCTGAAGTCTGGCTTGGTTCATACCCCTCTGTGTGCTGGGGTGAGATGGTCGGGCTGCTGCTGTCATGGTCCAAGCTGTCAGTGATACTGACATGAACCATATGCCTGTTCTTTTCGTGGAGTAGAAAGGAAATCTTGTGCACAGTTGAAATCTTGTTGTGTAGGGCTGTATTGGGAAGGTGCTTTTCAAATAAGCTGCAGGCTGAAAAGGCCTTTCTTCTCTCTTCTGCAATGCTCAATCCAGTGCAGGTGCAAAAGGGACCATCTCCCTCACTCTGCTCTCCTTGTGCTGGAGCCAGCCTTTGTTTGGATGGAGGAGCATATCTAACTAAAGAATAATCAGGTTATGCTGAGTTTGTGGTTTCTTGGTGTGGTTCATCTTGTGCTTACACAAGCACTTGAGGTGGAAATGAAGGGGCAGGGACTGGGCAGAACTTCTTGTTTCAGCAGCCTGACCAGCTTATGCCAGTCTAGATGGCCTGCAAGCCCATTTGGTGTTAAGAGATGGCAAAGCATGCACTAGACTTGACTTTCATCCTTTACTTCCCAGTTCCATGTAACTTTTACTGGTGACACCTGTGGTGACTGACAAAGCATCTGGTGAGAGACATGCAGTGGCTCCAGTGTGCCGGTCTGCACACTGTATTCCTGTGGGAATGTCCCAGAGAGCATTGCCCATGGCCTCTTCCTCAGTGCCACAGGTCTGGGCTCACTCTATGTAGCATGTGTGGAAGCTGGGCAGAATAAAAATGTTTTGAAATCTGCCTGGCCAAATCATTCGATGTTGATGATCAGTGCCCAGTGCTGTAGGAGTTGTACTCCTCCTGTACTCCACAGAAGTAAAAGCCCTGTTAGAGTGATTACTTTCTTCAGGGGCTGGAGGACCTGGTGCCCTCTGTGACTAAGTAGCTCTTGCTGGCTAAGTTTGGGACTTCTGGGGTCAAAGAGTAGTTTGAGGACTAGCTGGTTCTTATTAGGGCCAGCACAGCTCAGGGGAGCAAGTCTCACTTCACCACTGAAGGTTAGGAGCAGGGTTTTTTTGCCACAAAATGGTAGTGGATTACCAAAGTTGTGATGGTAATTTCTGGGTCAGAGTAGGGATGTGAGTGGAGACTTGTTCCTTAAATGGTGGTACAAATTATCCTAATTGGCTTGTGCTGCTGGGTATGTGTCACCCTGCGAAAGACCAGGTACTGCTGTTTGGGAGTGGTGAGGAAAACTTGTGCCTGTGAGAAGACTTGTAATCTGCTTGCATTGATGGTTGGTTCAGGCTGAGTGAGTGGCATGTGCAACCGCTCCATTTCTGCATCTGATCTGTTTTTAATCCCTAGTGATGGGAGAGAGTTTTCATCCCCTCTCCAAGAAGCTCCACTTGATTGCTCTAATCATCTTGGCATTAGTCTCAGCAATCATACACGCAGGGTGGTAAGTAGCTTCTGACTGTGTCTGTGAGGTTGCCCTTACTGGAACAAATGCAAACTGCAGAGGTGCAGAGCTGCGTCTCTCTCAGGAGGCAGAGTTTTTACAAAAAGCTGTCTTGTCTGCAAGGGCACTTTTGGAACCTGTGGGGTCCCCACCTCTGTCTGTTGGCTTGAGCTCTGTGAATAGTGCAGGCTCACTGTTTGGAAGGGCTGTGCAATCCTTTACCTGTTCTGTGATCTTGAAGGTACTTGGAGATTGTAATAAATTAAACCTCTCAGCAGCTTTGAGGACTCTCGCCTGTCAGCTTCATCTGTGCTGAGTAACAGTATGCTTGCAGGGGGAGCTGGTAGAAAATGACTTTCTGGTCACTGAGACAGTGGAATCGGCCAAAATGAGTTTCACACAGGATGTCAGTGGTGAAGTGAGACTACAGCATTTCCAGCCGTGGGATGAGTCTCCAGCTCTGCCACGTGGTCTCACACTGCAGCAGCTCTCCTGTCTGGAGCTGCTATTCTTTGGAAAGACTGATAGAAGGTCAAGGCTTTTCATCTGTCTCGTCTCTGAATTTGACTTGCTTTACAAATTCATGGTCTGTAGTGCTGTGTCTGCATTTTGTCTTGCCATCCATGACTTCTTGCCTGCTCCTTGCTGCTGTGGATGCATACCAGGAGCTGGAGGGCTGCATCCTCAATCACAACAAAGCTGTGCTTTCCTGCACTTGTATTGTGCAGCCCTGGCTTCTGCTTCATGCTGGGTGGATGCCCAGGATCAATCCTCCTGCAGCTGGGGCAGGAATCAGGGAGAGGAAAATGTTTGGGAGGAGTGGGAGTTGCATGTGGCTCCCCACTGCCTGGCCTGGCTGGCAGCATGGTGTGTGTACTGCCTGCCCTGCACTGGAGAGAGGAGAGCAGTGCTGCCCTGTGTGGGCTCAGGCTTATGGATGATTCTCACTTCTTGCCTGAGATCTGGAGGGGCTTGAGCCTCCTGGCTCAGCAGGCCTGCTGAGGTAACTGGAATGTTCTAGCCAGTGGGAAAACCCTGGTTCTCTTTTCTAGGCTATGCTCTGGTATCTGATGCCATCATCCTCCTTGGATAATGTGATCACCTACCTTGGAGATTGGGGGCACCTCATTTGGAGTCTGAACCTGTCTCCTCTGGTGAGGGTGGCCACTGTGGGTTTCAGGAGGGGCTGTGTCTATTCACACTGGTGCTATCCCCATGGGATGCTGTCCTGGGTCCCACAGCAGGGTGAGGGCTGGGAAAAGGATGAAATCCCCACCTCTGCAGCAGCCAGACCCCTCGCTGGCTGGGGCTCCCATTGCCTCGGCGTGTTGTGTAAGTGCAATGCATGCATCTAGAACTTCCGTATCTTTGAAGCAAAGGACTGAGTATATTGGAGCAGAAATGGCCACCCCAGGAAGGTGTGACAGCCCTGCCATAATTCCCTTTGTCAGCTCCTTGCTGCTTCTGGAGCTTGAGCCTTATCTGGTGTGTTGAGTCCAGGTGTGCCTTCGTGCTGGAAAGGACAGGTGAATAATTCATCCAGCCCAAAGGGGCTGGGTGAGAAAGGAACCTGTGGAACCAAAAAAAATGCCTCTAATGAAGAGCTTAGGAAAACTGTGATTAAGAAGTGCTAATGAGTCTTGCTCTTAACTCCCACTGGTGAGAAGAGAAAGCCCATGTGCAGGTGTGCTGGCGCCCGCCCCTGTAGCACGGGGATGGCGGGGGCGAGCTGGAAGCCTTGCCATCTGCTTGCCACTTACAGTATATTTCTGTGTGCCGGTAGTGTATTAGTCTCTGGTTTGGTGTTTTTCTGGTTTTAAATACTTCTCCAAGGTGCATTTACTGTTTCACTGTAGTAACTTGCTGCATGTAGTAAATTCTGGATTTCGTTGCCTTGGGATTCCCGGTGCTCATTTTCTGAAAGCAAAAACACAATCTTAACAGAGGTGGGAACTGGAGAGGAAAGTCTTTGTGACAGAGATGGCCTCATACCATGTGAACTGGCTGCTCTTATCAGTAATTGCTGACTTAGAGTGTATTAAAGACAGTGGCGTGTCACTTTATGAGCTTTAAACTATGGTTATGGCAACATAGTCCCACAGACGCTTTACTTTGCACCTTGTCACAGCTGCCCAAATTGCTGGTTCCTGAATTTGAATCTGCATTAATATTCAACTAAACTGCTTCCTCCACTGTGTGAGAATTGTGCTAACTTCTTTTTAGCCATGCTGCCCACTTTAATATCTGCTGACCCCATATTTTGCAGTCTTACCCCTGAAATAAGTGTGTGACATTCATATTTTCTGAAAAATCCCTTTGCCCAGGATTTTTCTCTTGGGAAGCTGCAAAGCCTCAGAAAAAAAGGAAACCAATAATTGTCTGATTAGCTTCTCCTGTGTTTTGCTCATTTGAAATGTGTTTGGAGATTGTTTACCATCAGGTGGTTATTTCACTGGGTTTCTGATGTGAATTGTTTTGACTTATTGGCCAACCAGTGCCAAGCTATGCTGGGACTCTGGAGAGAGTCAGGAGTTTCGTTATTATCTTTTTAGCATTCTGGAAGTATCCTTTCTGTATTCTTCCGTATAGTATAGTTTAGTATTCTTTAATATAATATAATATCATAAAATAATAAATCAGCCTTCTGAAAACATAGAGTCAGATTAATCATTCCTTCCAACGTCAGGACACCCCGCAAATACAATATAAGTGGACTTGGGACAAAGCTGTGCTGCTTTCCTGCATGGCTGCAGGCTCAGGAGCCAAATAGCTGTGGGGATTAAGTGTGGATTGGGGGCCTGCCTTCTTAAAATGCTTAGGCACAAGCAGATGTCTTACGAGATTTTGGAAAAATCCCATTATGTTGCCAGTCTATATCTTTAAGTGTCTTAATGTCATTAAATATTTGGGTCCCAGGTGGTCTTCTAGGTGCTGTGCTCTCCCTCCCCAGCAAGCGTGCTGCAGACATATGGCAGATGGGAAATTATGCAGCTTAGGATCCTTGTCTCCTTTTATCTTTCTCTTGTGGTAAAGAAGGCCAGAAGTTAGACTTGAAATGGCTTTCTGGGGGAAGGAGAACAGCAGAGTCAGTAGTGGGACTCTGCTCATCCAAACTGCTCTGTGCTGGGGCGGGGGATGGAAAGCATAAGCTTTCTGTGCTGGACTGCCTGCCTGCATCGGTGGTGTTTGAGGGATGCTGGCAGCTCTGATGATCAGCCTGCCACGGTCTCTGTGCAGGGAAGGGCTGGCTCTGCTGCTGGGGCAGCCCCCGTGGTCAGCAGGACGACTTTGCCTGATGCTGGAGTTCACGTGGGGCTTAAGCCATCTGTGCTGCCGCGTTGTGTTGCACTGAGCACATGCCGCTGCTCAGTAAATCACTTATCTGCTCTGCGGGGAGCCGTGGCTGTCTAACCTCTTCATCTTTTTCCTTGTGTCCAGCCCTCAGTCCCGCCAGTGCCAAACTACAAGCTCTCCATGTCAATCCCAGAATGGCTCCAGGCAATACAGACCTACATGAAGATGCTGCAGTATCCTTCTCCAGCGTGTGGTCTCTGGAAAGAAAGCTGACTTGTGCCTGGTGTGAATTAACAGAGCTTTACTGAAGCTTTAGCTGGTTGCGAGGGCTTGGGATCATTTGGGGGTAAAGGGACACCTCCAGGGATTTGTGATAGCATCAGCAGCACTGAGCTTGTCATAGCAGTCCTCTGGGAGATGTAATTAACTTTAAATTATACTGAAAAATTTAACTGAAGTGACATTGGTGGGAATAGAGGTGCTTATTTTCAAGTTGATGTATGAGGATATTATGATCAGATCGTGATGCCTGGAGAAATAATATGGCATCTTGTCATAAAGCGACTAAGAGAGAGCCAGTGTTGTGGCAAGCCCTTTCTCCCTCTGCCTTGGCAGCCCCTGTGGGTTCCCTGAGGATTGCCTGTGTACTCAGCCTGCAGGCAGTGCTTGTCACTGGGGTGAGAGGCACAAGCAGCTGTCCTGACCCCAAGGTGGGCAGGCTTGCCTGTGACACAGGAACTGACCAAAGGCATCTCCCTTCCAGATGTTCCACCTTGCTTGGGAGATTCATCAGGCATCTACACATCTGTCTAGCCTGTCTGTCACTGCCCCATGCCCAATTCCTGACTTTCCATTGCTGACACATAATTTCAGAGAAGGTTACTGGCCCAGTTACTGGCCCACTCTTCTGTTTCCCTTTTTTTCTGAGCTCTGCCTTCTTGTGTGTGTGGGGAAACTGGGGGGATGAGGAATGAGTGTAAAGTGCTGGTAAGGATTAAGAAGGATATAATAAGGAGGCAGCTGGAAGAACATGCAGAAATAGCAGGCGCAGGGAGTCGTGGTTGGGATCAAGGCGCAGCCGGGCCTGGAGCTGCAGCAGCTGCCGTGGGCGGGGGGGCTGGGGCCTGCCTGCTCTGCAGGGGGACGGTGCATTTCTCTTCTTTATGGCAGCCACTTGGCCAGGACAAGAGGCTTCTTCCTCGCTGGGATTGTGCCAGAGAGGATACCATGTCATACAGTGCTCCAAAAATTACATTATCCCCCACCTCCCCCCGTAGTGGTTTTGAAATCCTGCATTCTGCTATGTAGCAGGAGCAGGCCTTAGGCACAGGGTTTGGATCTGTGTTCAGAAAAGCTTCAAAGTGGGCTGGGGAGCAGCGTCTGGCTTCCTTTGAGGGCTGGAGGAGGATGTATGCTTTGTGCAGAGCACCCTGCAAGGGCCTCATGAATTAGTTTTGAAGGCAGGAGGGGGAAGTAAAGCCTTGTTTGTGAAGAACTCTGAACTCTAATTGAAGTCAGTTCAGAGCATCCTGGTGAGAGCTGGAGTTTTTATTTAGGCTATGGTTATCCATCCAGCAGCTGTGCTATTTATGCCTTGCAAGCAACTCTTAGCTTCCATGGGTCACCTGCTTGTGCCCTGGTGTCTGCCTTGGTATCACTGATTTTACTGGCATGAGCATTGTGATGGAATAGAATTTAGGTACTAGGTTAGGAAAGAGATTCAACTGGAAAAGTAACCTATCAAAAATAAGGGCAGTGTGATTTTTTTTTTTTTAACTTAAATGGGTTTGTTGTTTTGGTTTTACTGAACAGATTGTTTTCCTGCTCTGATTTATTGTGTTGCTACTTGAACAGAAATGCTCAAGGAGCAGGGAAGAGGCTGCTTCTATTAATGCTGCTGTGTGACAGCCTATGCTTCTAGGAAAGTGGTGCTGAGATTTGGTTGACTATCTGCTGGCATCATTTGTGATGAACTTTTCTACTATTAGTGTTAGCTAATGACCTTGACTTCCTGGTTGTTTTCATTTCAAGAGCACTGCATTTTTTAGAGAATGGTTTATATTTTCTAAGTGTGAAGGGATGCACCTGCAGTGGTTTTGGTTGGCAGGTCACAGGTGAGCCATGAGGCTGATGGAGTTAAAAGACTTCTAAAGGAAATAAGTTTTTTCAGACCACAGATTATATTGATTGGTTTGGGTAGGCTATGAAAGCTTTCTCTTGCCCACGTAGGAGACTTTTTTTCAAACTTGCAACCTAGTAATGAGCGGGACCTAATGGAAAAGAGAATTTATAACCTTCAGATGCTGAATTTGAGTGTCGTTTTTGATGGTCAGCCTTAATACATGATTCTGCACCTACTGCTGTTAATAAGTCATATAAAAAGACAAGTGAAAATTTTTGCTTTATTTTACATGCCATGTGTTTAATATCTGAGAGTCAATGGCTTTTACTGCTTGTTTTGTGTTTCAACAGGAACTCAGAACTGAAATCCACCTTTTCAGCAGTGTTATTTTATTGCTTGACTGTTCAAGTTACTTTCCCTTAACAGACAAAATACAGATACAATCACACGGGAACACAGTTCTTCGAGATCAGAAAAACCAGACCTCTGAGTGGGTAAGTGTCATTGGAATTGGTCTAGTGCCCTTGTTCCTGATCACCTGGCATCCAAGCACTGCAGCACCATGGCATGGGAGGACTGTGTCCTCTGTGCCACAGCTCCCACAGCTCCTCTGTTGCTGCCTTTGCGAGGAGTGTCCCAGCTTGCTGCTGGGTGGCAAAAGGACCATCGAGACCAACGAGTGGAAGGGCTGTTCTTGCTCAGCAGCTGCGTGGGTGCTGCTTGGCTTCAGGCCAGAGCTGATGCACAGGGGTGGGAAAACTCTCTGCTTATTGGTGTTGGGTTGGGAGGGCTGGGCTGTTTTTCTGAAAACTGAGTAAGTCCTGATATTCTGGTTGTGCTGCAATGCCCATTGCAGGTGGTAGGAAGGGATTAGCTGCGTGAAATGCAGCAGAAGTTTGGACATCCTGGGGCACAGTAGTTTTCCCTGGAGGCTCACAATGGACTGTTTAAGTTGTGTCTGTGCTTCTGCCTTGCTGCTCACTTTGCTGTTCCATCCGTGTGGCGGGCTTGTGCAGGTTTGTGATGAGTTGTGCAGTGCAACTATGAAAATGTGCATGTATGAGGCTGGCAGCAGAGAGCTGGGGTCTCTTGCATGTTAGAACTGCATCATACTTAGGACAGCTCTTTAACAGAACCTAATAAATTAGGAAGTTAGGGCAGGAAGGGTGTTGACAGTATTATACTTTTATTTTAGGGTGAAATTAAGATAAGCAGAATATAATTACTCCCATAGGTTGGTCTGTCTCTAGCTCTTCCCAGTTCTCTGTCAATAAACTAATGGTCCCTCACTCTAAAATTCCAGTTCCCATCTCAGCTTTGTGCTTCAGGTTTTCATGTTGCTGACAGCAATCTTGCTCACCTCCTTTATCTAATGTTCTCTGCTCTGGTGGAACTAGTTTAAAACAAATCTTGTGCCTTGAATGATAGATGGGTTTACAGAAGCTTAAACCAATTTTCAAGCTGCTCACTCATTTTTAAATTTGTCCCATTACTTTTTTCAAAGGAAGTGAAGGATGAAAATGAATTATGCTCAGCACTTACCACTTAAAAGGTCGTTGTCTTCATGGGCTGGATAAAAGCCTGGCTTAAGAGGATGGTGCTCTTTCCTGGAAGGGAACAGATACAGTGCTCACAGCTGGAGATGTGCCTGTGGCTTTGAATCATCTCCCAAGTGGAACCATTTCCTCTGTTTATCTGCCTTAATATTTGCTTGGGGGCAAGTGTCTGACTCCTCTCCTTCTTGCTGCTTGGAACTTCTTGGAATGGGGTGACAGGACTGTTGTGGAGTTAAGGTTGGCGCCCCTGGAAATGGTCCAAATGCTCAGGGGCTGCCAGCTTTCCAGGCACTGTTGCCTGAACATGGTGTATGCTGGACTCAGTGTAAAGTCCTAAGACCTGTGCAGCTTTGCTCCTGGGTTGGGTGGATGGGAGTGCTGGGAGGAGTGGAGCTGTCAGGAGCACCTGTTGCTGCCTGGATCCTGCTGTTCTGCTGTAGGGCTCAACTCTTGCCTGGTCTTGGTTTCTCCAATTTTGAGAAGGAGAACGCGTGCGAGGCTGTCTGAAGTTCCTGCCATTTTTATGAAACCAAAATTCCAGTTGTTTTTATGAAACGGTTTCTGGTTTAGAGTTCAGGTATTTTAAAACTTTCCTGGCCAACTCAGGAGGGTGGGACCAGACTGTTTTCAGTGGTGCCCAGTGACAGGACAAGGAGCAATGGGCGGAAGCTGGAAGTTCCATTTAAGTATGAGGAAAAAAATGTTTACTTTGAGGCTGACAGAGCACTTGAACAGGCTGCCCATAGAAGTTATGGAGTCTCCTTCTGTGGAGATATTCAAAACCTACCTGTGCAACCTGCTCTAAATGAAACTGCTTTAGCAGGAGGGTAGCTTTAGCAGATCGTCTCTGAAGGTCCCTTCCAACCCCACTTTGGTGAGTCTGTGTGAATAGTGCATTGATTCCCCTGTAACATTGAGGTATGCACGAAAGCTTCCCTTTCCTTCATCTGGCCAGTTTTCATCAAAGCTGAAAAATCACCTGCACCTCCAAGTTTGTTTTTTTTTCTTGGGAGGTGTGCTCTACTTTGCAAAAAATCTGCTCCCAGCATGGCAATGACAGGTGTCATGTGCTGAGATGACAGGAGCTGCTCTGAGCAATTTCTGAGGTGTGCAACACAGCGTTTGCAAGTTGATTGGGCAAGATGCTGAAGGCCTCCAATTGCCACTAGCTCTTGAAAAATGAGGCTGTTCCCAGCTTTATTGACACTAAACATATTGCTGATTTCATAATGTGGGGGCTCAAAGCTAATGAATGTATTACAAGATCTTTGGCAGCCTCTCCTCAAGACAGCAGTGGCTGGACACAAAGAAGCTGAGTACTAGATGGAAATTGAATATTCATAAATTCATGTCAAAGTGTCCTGAAGCAGCTGGGGCATATTAATGGGTTTTTCTGTTATGGAGGGAGGACTAGATATTGTAGAGATTTACTGCCAGCATCAGTATGATGTATGAGAAAATAAAAATGCGAGGCTGAGAATAGGAAGAAGAGCATAAATTATGTATTGGAGCTCATTAAGGGATATAGTCTTGCTATAATTCAGTATTTACAATCTCTTTAAGTAAAACTCACTCTTATTATCAACTTAACTTTCGGAGTGCCAGACACCACGTGGATTTGCCTAGACTACAGATAGCACTTTTAGAAATGCTAGATTTCTGTTTGTGTTGCTGTGCGAGTCAGGGTGGCAGAGCTGTGAACCTGTAAACTTGGTGTGCTGTTCTTGTTGTACTGCCAAACTGTGTCTGAAAATGTGCCTGGGTCGCACCTCTCCTGAGCTGGCTGTATTTGCATAAAATCCAAATTTATGGGTGTAGCTACATCCACTGTAGGAGTGCTTTGCTAATATAGGTGTCCTGGGACAGTGTCCTTCAAGGCTTCATGATGTACCTTTTTGTACTAAGTAGGTAAAGGGCACCCTGTGAAGTTCAGCTCTGCTGATCCATTTGTGTATGCATGTGATATGAATGTTTCAGACACCAGTAGGACTGGTTTTCCTATTCCCATGCAGGATTATGCTGGCTAAACCTATATTAGCCAGTCTGTTGAAAAATGGTACTTTTGACTGACATAATCATTCTTTTTAAAACTTCCAGGCTTAGATCATGACAGAGCTTTAGGAAAAAAGTGTATGTCTGGATATCTAGTAAAATCTGTAACTGTGAATTCAGTGTCAACAAGCTGTTACTACTGGGTTTACAAGGAGAAATAAGCCCTCTGGAAGCTTCTGGTTTAGGATGCAAGCATGAGACACAATGAGAAACAAATCTCTTTGTCCTCCACAGAGGATCTGGGGAGGTGCAGTATTGTGCTGTTCTCTCCAGTTAAGTGCCAACCGAACAGGGGGACCTACAACTGAAGCAGGAACTGATGTTTGGGTGGATTCTGTGGTCTTTGGGAAATGGGAGCCCAGAAGCTGCTCTGTGAGGAGGGAGAGACATTCAGCGGCAGCAGATATAATGTGTGATCGATTGCAGTAGAGGAGCACGTGGCAACGATGCAACCAAATAACAGGGAAGGGGAGACAGGAAATAATACTGTTTCCACACACCATGTTATTAAGGAACACTGATGGGGCTGTAAAGAAAAATAGGCTCATAGCATTTCCAGACAATAGACTGCAGAAGGCATTTGAACATCTGCTTCTCTCTCGCACAAAGGGGGAATGTTACAAATGTGGTGTGGTGTTCAGCATGTGGTGGAAATGATTTTGCTGTTGAAACACTGTTTTTGAGAGATTCACAAGATCCGTGTCTGCTCTGCTATTTTATCTCCTTTTGCCCCTGCTGGAGCCTTTCGCTTCACTCTTGGCTTCATTATCATGAATGAAACTGTCAGGAGCCTTAGAAAAACTTGGGAGAGGGAGATTTTATAGACCTCATGCAAATAGATGGGTCTGTGCAAGGAGAATTTTGTGGAAAGATGTGCTGGAGGAGATCTCACTAATAAAAAATGTATTCAATCTTGTAGGAGTCTTTCTGGTGAAGGTAATGGGGAGCCTCACCTAAGCATGGTTATCCCTGAAGGGACTCCAGTGTGATCGGTGCCAGCTGGTGAGATCCTCCAGTCTGGGCATGCTGAATGGTTTTAAGATTTTTCTAAGCTGTATATGAAATTGGGTGCCCCAAGTGAAAAATCTGGAAGCAAAAGGAATTAGTGATTCTTATGAGCTGTCTTTAGACACTGTCATTTTAAACAGAAAGCATCCTAAAGAGGCAAAGTGAACTCCTTTCAGGGCCTCTGTTACTGCAGGAAGCAAGGGAGATAGTACTGCTTGGCTCCTGAAAACACTGAAAGAAATTTGAATCAATTAACAAGGAAGTATCACTATCTGCCAAGGACTAGGTTTTGAGGGAGGAACAAGCAGCCTGTTCCTGTTGGCTACATTTGTTAGAGGCAGAAATGTTCACTGTAGTCTGGAATAGAGATCTGCCTGGCAGACCTCAGAGAGTGGTGTAAATGGTACAAAGAGGGGAGCTGCAGGGTGCTTGTCTTTGACTGTAGCAGTCTCTCCTGGAAGAGATGGGCTGCCCCCAATGCTCACTGGAGTGTGGGGAGAGGGTGACTGTGGGCTAATTCCCAGCTGTCTGATATAAGACTGTAAAGAGTAGCTATACATGTAGACTCTTTTCAGGTGACTGTCAAGATTTAAAGAAAATCTCAGAAGCAAACCCTGCTAAGGCAGGAAATTGAAATGCTTGATGCTGTTTTTTAATTCTTTTCTGCCTTCCTTAAATCTCCTTTCACAAGTTTAACTGCAAACTTTCTGGTCACTATTAACATCTGAGACAGTGTGATGAGAATTTAGGAGTGAGGGAAAAGAGGGAAAGGACAAATCAAAGAGCACCTGCAGTGAGCAGTTCTCAAATGAGCTGAATGCTCTGTAATTTGCAATAGATCCCTTAGAGAACTGACAAGCAGCCTTCAGCCATTAATATTTGAGTTAGAGAATGTGGGGAGGGTTGGGTGCTGAGGAAGGCAAAGATAGCAGCCTTTAAAAAGAATAAGGGAAAAGATAAGTCTAGGAACTTTGAGTTTATCTGCAGTTCAAGGGAAGGGAAAGGCAACATTAATATAATATTAATATTGTTGGGGACAGTTTGTTTCTGAGAATTTCCTTCTATGAGCATGTAAGAGCTTTTGTCATCAAGGGAGAAGACATGGATGTAATAACTCCTTGTTTTAGTGTGGCTTTTGATAAGGCCACATCTTATCTCTGCAGATAAGGCAGGGACCTTGAGTCTAAATAAAACTCTTTAATGTAAGGACCCAGCTTGGTGAAAAGCAGCACGTAGAAAGTGGCACTTTACCAATCTTGCCTAGCAGAGATTGTCAGTTGAGGTGTGCAGTGTCTGTCCCAGCTCAGTTTTTCCTTAATGGTATAGGTAAGACTAATTGTGTGCTGATGGGTGATTTGCAGTCCAGGCTGGACAAGATGACAAGGCTTTGAAAAGTGAGACTGGGATATTCAGTGTGATCTCTTGGGCTGGAGCAAACAGGAGATAATTTAGTGAGGGCAAATGTGTAGGAGAGTTTGGGAGTAGCCAGCTGTAGAGAGCAAAAGGCTAGTTTTGCAAAGAAGAAGCTTAAAAAAATAAAAGAAACCAAACAAAAATTTCCAAAAAAGCCCAGCCAAAAAATCCCCACCCCTAACAAAAAAAATCTCCCAACCAACCCACAAAAAAACCCCACCAAAAACACCAACAAAACCCACAAAAAGCCACCAGAACCCCATTCAGTGTGGGCCAACAGGGAAAAGTCAGCAGCATGCTGGCTTGGTTGCAAATATGCACTGAAAGATGGATTCAGAAGGAAATTGGTCTGTTTGTACTGTTGTGGGCTTAGCCAAAGGACTGTGAGAAGTGAGTTGGTTGAAGGGATTCCAAAATAGAAAAAAACAAACATTGTCCTAAAATCATAACCTCAGGGGGAGTGAGGGAGGAATTAAATAAAAGTTAGTGTCTGCTTCCTCATTTTACAGAGGAGAGGGTAGATTACAGTCTTTTGCATATACAAATGTCTGCAGCAAGAGGAGAGATGATGAAAGGTCTCCATGCCCACTGTGGAGAGCAGAAATAGCTCCTGATTTAATTTGCAAAAAGGGAAGGATTTAGTTTAAACATTAAGATGCAAGGTTAAGTATAGGATAGATTAGCTGGTGGGTTCCCAGGCTTTTGAGAAGCCAGTTGAAAGCAGACTGAAAAATAATCTGTGAGGAGTGATTTAGATTTGGCTTGTGCTACCTTGAGCAGAGCTGTGGCTTGGGGATTCTCCAGGGGCTCTGCTTCCAATACAAACACAGGGTTTAAGGCCATACTTTGACTCAAGCTTGCTAAAAGTGGACGAAAAACTCTCAGTGGCTCTTGAACTGGGTCACGCACATAAAGCCTGCGGTCCGTGCTGGAAATGCAGAGAGAAAGCAAACTGTTTGCAGGGTACTCCCCAGGGTTCCAGGGTGGATGTGTGTGAGGACACAGCCTGCCCCAAAAATGCAGGTGGATGCTGCTTTGCTGACAGCTGGTGGTGCCTCCTGGGCGATGCTCCCCTCGCACAGACCCTCCTCACTGTCCTGCTCCATTGGTACCTCTGAGCTGCCAGGTGCCAGTGCAGCTCCTGGATCCAGGTGCAGGCTGCTGTGTGTGCCTGAGGAGGAGATGCTGGCCCTGCCCCTCAGACTGTGTAGGGAGCACGAGTAGGTCACACCAAATGACTTGCAGATAAATGGTTTTACAACTCAACATTTTTCCTCATGCTGCACATTCATAATCAGCCGGTTTCTTTTGTGTTTTTTTTTTTTCTTTAACTCCCATGTAGTTAGAAGATAGGAAATCCAGTGGATTATCTTGTTTATGGATACCTCCCATGCCTCATCTGCACATAACACTTCTGAGACAGAGACGGGGCTGTGCAGTGGCCACTGCTGTGACCAGTGGGAGCCTCTGTGGGCAATGAAGGAGCCCCATTGTGTGCCCTCCCCGGGGCTGCTCTGTGCTTCCAGCAGTTCTCTGGGGTTCTGTGCCTGATTGTGAGAGTGGAGGAGGCAGACAAACTCTAATTAGTCTTCTGTACTGCAGGCAGAGTGTAAGGGGTGGTTGTTTACAAATGAAAAGATAATTTCTAACTTGGATAAATGGGACACGAAATGGCTGTGACAGGCTGCAATAGCAGTGGAAGTTCTGTTGTCACTTGCATTCAACACAAGGTTTAAAATGCATGAGGTGGGTGAATCAGAAAGTGGAGGAAACAGACTGATGGTTTCAGATGCATATTTTCATAATCTTCTCTAATACAAATATTTTTGTCATTTAATCTTGTATTTCCTTAGAGTATGGATCTGTTTACAAAGCTTTTCCCAGAGAAAGGATATGGATAGAGAAGACTGCAAAATAAAAGTTATCTTTTGGCTTAGTTTTCAGCTGCACTTTTTTGGGGGGGGTGTATTTTTTTGGTGTGGCATTGGATGTGACTCTTCTGGCCTTTTTTAGGCTGCTTCCAGTTTGTTGTTTTTTTTTCAAACTGTCCAGGATTTCCAGGATCTGTTTGTGGAAGGGGGTATGTTACCTATTAGGTTAATAGTGCAGTGTCAATCTGGCACAACAGCTTTCTCAGCTGACCTGAGGTTGCTTGTCACAGTGTTGTCCCTGTCAAATAATTGTACACCAGAGATAGTGTGTAGATTGTAGCTAAACTTTGGAAACTTGCAAAATCCTGAGCATGTGTAGTTTCCTGCACTCCTGCTGGAAATTGTGTGGATTTTGCCACAGGAGATGTAGAGCAGCAGCAAGACAATAACTCAGTTTGCAGGGATGTGAAGTGTCTGTGTTGGTAGAGCTTTCTGCAGAGCAGGCTTTGATAAAAAGGCAATAAATTCTGGTCTGCAGCCGTAGCTATGGGATTATGGAGGCATCTGTAGCTTTTAGGGGGCCATGTAACCATCCTTTCTCTTCTGCTTTGTTTGCCTTTCCTGCAGAGGAGAGCCAGGGTTATTTTGAAAATAAGCTAAACTCAGTCCTGCTCTGGGATTTCCATGATTGCCAGCTTGTGCAGTTCAGCGGGGCTTTGTGTAACAGTCTGCAGTGATGCTCAGGGAGTTGCTGTAAGATGTACAGAGGACCGCATTCCTTCCATTTACCTTCAATATATTTCTTTTCCTCTTTCTTTTTTTTTTTCCCCCCCAGTCATCCTCCAGAAGTTAACAGGACTCCAACAAGTCACTGAAGGGGAGAATCAAGTTCCCCAGCTCTTGCTGAGATAAGAACTGGAGATGCCTGGCTCTTGGTGTATGAGAGGACCTTTTGATTCCTGTCAATTGCTCTAGCTGGAAGGACTGAAAACTGTTTTGTTTCTGTTCTAGGTTAATGGAGACAGCAAAAGAAATGACCAGGGAGTCCTTACCTATCAAATGCCTTGAAGCAGTTATCCTGGGGATGTATCCTTTCACGTGCCTGTGACTTTTTCCACTGCAGCTCTGTTGAATACATTGCCCCTCACAGATGGTGTTTGAGAGGGTTGCAGCCAAAAAGGTGAGTGCCAGCAGCTTGGGGAGCTGCCCTGGTATTCATCACCAAGTTGCTGAGTTGCCTGGGATTGTAGGTGGGAGTTGGGATGCTGTGTGCCAGATCACAAGTGTTGTGATTTGGCCATGCAGACTTCGCCTCCTGCCCTGGTATTCTGCATAATGCCAGGATCTGACCCAAAGTGCCCAGATAAGTACCTGTCTACACAATCCTTGTTTTCTTTGTTAGCATTTCTCTGTTGGTTGTTGTTGGAGCTTGGTAACACCCGAGGAGGTGGGTTCTGTTCTGTATTTGTCTGGTGTTTACATGGCCAAGTCGTATTAGCTTTTGCCTCTGAACCCACAGCTGTGCTTTGTGCAAAAACATGTGTTTTACAGTTAAACATTTGAGCTTCCCCTTAACATAATGCTTGCTTCCTACTCAGTCTTCAGTCATTTAGACACTGACTTACTTCTCCTTCCTCTGGTGCTGTCACTGATAAATCAACCTACACCATCCTAAAACACTGGAGGAGGGCAAGGCAGGGCTGCAGGAACAGGTTGCCAGACGCATCTTGTCAGAAATGATTAAGTTTCACTTAAAACAAATCCCAACTAAAAATAAGCCCCGAAGCAAACCATCTCCTGGTATGTCTCTGCAGCGTTTTGCTGGCTGCTGCTGCCCCCTCCCGTGGGAGAGGGAGCTGGCAGAGCCTGGCAGGTAGTGCCTGTGAGAATCCATGGCTGCTGAGGAGTGGGAAGGGGATGGGCTGAGCAATGTGTGCCAGGGCTAGGCCTCGGACTGGAGTCTGAGAGGTCGCTCTGGCTGACAGGGTTTCCCCTGGGAATGCTGACAAGCTTTGCATGAGCTGGAGGGATTGGGGTCCTGGGGCTTGATGTCAACAAGAGACTCAAAGCCCTTCCAGAAGGAGAAATCATAGAATATCCTGAGTTGGAAGACACCCACAAAAACCATGGAAGTTCAGGCCCTGTGTTGTCCAAATCCTTTTTAAACTCTGTCAGGCTGCCTGGTGCTGTGACTGCTTCCCTGGGGAGCCTGTTCCAGTACCCAACCTTCTTCTGGGTGAAGAACCCTTCCCTAATATCCAACCTAAACCTTCCTGACACAGCTTCAGGCCATTCCCCCGGGTCCTGTCACTGGGCACCACAGAGCAGAAATCAGTGCCTGCCCTTCCTCTTCCCCTCTGGAGGAAGTTGTAACTGCAATGAGGTCTCCCCTCAGTCTCCTCCAAGCTGAACAAGCCAGGTGACCTCAGCCACTCCTTGTATGGCTTCCCCTCAAGGACCATCTTCATTGCCCTCTTTGGGATGCTCTCTAATAGATTTATATCCTTTTTTTATATTGTGGCACTCAGAACTGCCCCCAGCACTGGAAGTGAGGCTGCCCCAGTGCACAGCAGAGTGGGACAGTCTCCTCCCTTGCCCGGCTGGCAGTGCTGTGCCTGATGCCCCCCATGACATGGTTGGCCCTCCTGGCTGCCAGGGCACTGCTGACTCATGTTCCCTCTCTGTGATGCTGTTCTCCAGCTTCTCATTCCCCGTCTATCCACACAACTGGGTGTGCCCTGTCCCAGATGCAGAACCTGACACTTCCCTTGTGAAACTTCATAGGTTGGAGATCACCTGGCTTTCCAATGTCAAGGTCTGTCTGCAGGGCCTCTCTGCCCTTGAGAGAGTCAGCAGCTCTTCCCAATTTTGTGTCATCAGCAAACTTACTAAGCATACCTTTGAGTCTTGCATCCAAATAATTTGTGAAGATGTTGAACTGGCCTTAAAATGGAGCCCTGTGGAACTCCACTGGTGAGTGGTTCCCAGCCTGGTGTAATCCCGTTTGCTGTAACCCTTTGTGTCTGACCCGTGAGCCTGTTGCTTACCCATTGTGTTATGTATTTCTCTAGCTGTATGCTGGATATTTTGTCCAGGAGAACACTGGGAGTCACAGTATTGAAGCTTTCCTGAAACCCAAAAAGTTTATGTTAACTGATTTCCCTTAAAGTGATGTCAGTGGGTCTGTTATGCTTGCCCTTGTGTCAGGGTTATGCCCTAAACTATTGGAATGGGGGAAATAATCCCCAGGTGGAATTGATGCCCCTCTGCAGTGTCAGTGTGGCCTGCAGTGGTGTATTTCTAGCAGTGAACTGATTATTCTACATATCACAGGAGCAAAGGCTGATTAGTGGCCTATGGATAACTGTGATAACCTGAAAGTGTTGTTGCTGGGTTTTTTGCGTGCCTCAAACCTGACTTATGGGTTCAGTTTGGTGGTTTTGGTTTGGTTTTTTTTTTTTTTTTGAGAAGTGAAGGAGGCAAAATAGTCGAAAGCTGTATTTTGTACTATTTGTTGTCATTTGAAGTCTCTTCAGAGTTAAGACGTGTATGGATTTTTCTGTGTCTAGATGCTAAGTAAAAAACCCAAACTTAAGGCAAACCTTTTTTTTTAATGAGAAATTTTAGCCAGGGGACTGTATGGGACAGGCTTGTCTTTCTAGGACCTCTGCATCTAGTCTTGGAAGTATCTCTCTGAGAGCAGGGACTGTCTGCTGGCTGGTGGTTCAGGAACAGATGCATTTAGGTTTACAAGATTCATGTGCTATGAGCCCCAGGTATTTTGCTTGAGGTGTGGGTACACAGAGAGTGTAGCAGTGGTGAGTGGGTGGGCCACCTGAATTTGTGTCTGGGAAGTGGCTGGTATGGAGGCTGTGCCAATAGGGAGCCTTGCAGTGCTGTGATGCATGTGCAGCATGAGGGGTTTTGGGAGGCATCTTTGGCATGGCATGTTGGGAAGTTTGCTTTTTTTTTGGCAGCCATGAGATTTTGATCTTTGGCATTGCCCTCTGGATGAGGCCAACATGGTGAGGCCAACAGCGTTCCAAGGTCAGGTGTTTTCCAGTGAAGATGTGCTTACCCTCTCCTGAGTTCCCAGCCAGTGCCTTCACACCGGCCTGAGCTGAGCAGCCCTGTGTGTGTGTTAACCTCTGGTTCCATTCCATGTATCTGGAAATAAGGTACTGCTGTAATCTGTGTGCTGGCAGGCCTTGAGTTGCTTGGATACTGAAAAAGCACAGCCCACTCCGGCGGCCCCTCGGTGTGAGCCTTCCTTCAAAGGCCAGCTTAGCGAGATGTCGCTTTAATTGAGCTGCTTGCTGGCTTGTGCAATCGCCTTTTACTGTGTGACTTCTTATAAAATGCTTCTATAATCCCTCTTGGTGCAGAATTAAGTTTGGCATAATTGCCTATGCACTTGATCTTGGAACATTTTTATAGGGCAGTGAGGTAAAGTACTGAGCTACCCTGTCTGCACACACCAAGGAAGCAGCTGCACTGAGGTGACCGAAAGCTCAAGCAGATCTTCCAGTATTATTTTGCAGCAGTGTGCACAGCTCTTTTTCACTGTGTAGCTGTCTGAACTGGCTTCATATCTCTGTGCTTACATGATCTGCTTGTCAGTGCCTAACCAGAAGCATTCCTCCTGCTGTCTTCCCCAGGGCATTTCTCAGTTCAGTTGTAAATCAGCTGAGTAATGGTGCGTTCAGCCCACTCTTTCTGAGCAAAGATCCAATTGATTTGAGCTCATGAAAGGGAATAGTAAACCAGAAAGTGCCAAGGGAATTTTATCTGCACTGCATTCACTTTATTAAAACGTGGAGAGCAAAATATCAGAGAGGGAGAGGGAAGCTGCACACTGCAGCCCTCCTCGGGGAGTCTTGGGGAGTGTATCTGCATTGGCTGAGCATAAATCACATAAATCACTCCTGTTGCCTTCAGCATCCTTCTCCCAGTTCATGTGAGGTAACACTTCGACCCACACAGGGTATTAGAGCCCCTGGCCAATAATATCATTAAACAAGAAGAGCAAAAGTGTCTCTTTTGGAGTGAGAAATTATTCAGTACTGCACTGTTCCTTCTGTGGATGCAATCCATGAGTGATGTTTATCACCACTGGAGACCTGGGTGCATCCATCTTCTCCAGGCCAGAAGGTACATCCCTGGGCTGGAAGTGAGGGTTTTCAGTAAGGGGGAGAGCTTCTTGCAGTCATTGCAGGATATTGATATCTGTGTAGTGCTCTTCTTTGCCTCCTGCATGCTTGTCTGCAGCTTAACAACTTGCTGACTGAAATATGGGAAAGGAAGATGGTGGTGAATGTCTACAGCCTCTGTGGTGGCTGAGAAGAGCTGAGAGAGTGCTTTTAGTTGCTTACATTGTTATGGTCTAATCTTTAGACAGTCCCACCTCTCGCTGTAGCCAGGCACTGGAGAGTAGGTTTCTCAATCTAAGGGATGTCACCCAGGCAGTCCCACTTTGGGAAGCTGAACCAGCTGCTTGAGCCTTTTCTACATGGAGCCTGGAGCTGCCAGGGGGAACCCTGGGCCCTCTGTGTAGACAGCATCCAGCTGTGGGCTCAGTAGCACTCTGCCTCACAGTAAGCAATCCCAGGTCCATGGGAAATGCTATCTGACTCCAGCTGGAAACCTCTCTAAGTGTTTATTGCTGCTGGTTGGGGGCCCTCTGAGCAGTTGCTTGGAAAACCAGCTCTTCTGGTTTTACTGAAGCCTTATTGATGGTTTGGAAATTTATTTTTCTCCTGCTTCACATGCTGCTCTGTTCTAGCAGCTTCAGCATTGCTAAGAACTAGAACTGCTTCCTTGCTCCCCAGCCTGCTGCCATCCCTCCAGCTCGCTGCTGCCCAGTGGCACTTGCTCATGGCCCCAGCCCATGGGAGAGGGGAGAACCAGACATCCTGTAGTTTTCTGTGCTCATCTTGACCAGACTTCAGCAAAACACCCTTGCTGGGCTCTTAAGCACAAAGCACTGCCCCTTTTCAGGTATGGATTCCAGCAGTTGCTCTTGTTAAACCTTGTGTGGTTGGTGGTTCCCCATCTCTCCAATTTGTTGAGGTCTCTCTGCAGCACCTCTCTGCCCATGAAAGAGTCAACAGCTCTTCTCAGTTTGGTGCTGTCCCCAAACTTCCTTTGAGTTCTGTGTCCATGTTATAATGAAGATGTTGAAGAGACCTGGGCTGAGGATGAAGCCCTGCAGAATCCCTCTAGTGACTGGGCTGATGTTACCAATTTGCTAGGACTCTCTTGTGCCTGACCTGTGAGCTTCTTGTGCTTCAGTTTCTGCTGCCTCTTCTGTTGGTTGGCACCACTGAGAAGAGCCTGGCTCCAGCATCTTGATTGTCAAGAAGACCCAGGATTAGGAGGCCACTGAGCTTTGCTGCAGCTACTTTTGCCCTCTACACTGCTTCTCTATTGTGACATGTAATTCACTCCCTGACTCTCCATCCTGCAGTTACAGTCCCAGCTCAGAAGTGTGATTACAGCTGCAGCATTGCTATGTGCTTGCCTTTTGTTTGCCACAATACAGTCTCCTTGGGCAGAGCAGAAAGGAAAGCTATAATAATGATGCATGGACAGAGGGGAAGATCTGACATGCCTTTCCAGCCCATTTGCTGTGTATTTCATCTCGGGTGGGGACTCTCATTAACCAGTCCCTCAGCAGAAGCAACCTGTACCTAAAGGTTAATTTCCACAGCAGTTGTTGCTGGGTTATTTGATGGTGGGTAATTTCTGCCCTGAAAAGATTCTTTTACTCCTACTAAGTATTTAATGAGATTAAATTGCAACTTCTCTGAGCCCTTGTGGCAGAAGTGTGTATGTGTGGCGGGTGGCCGCCAAAGCTTTGTATGGGCTTAACAGAAAGGCACTTGGGGAGCAGAGTGAAAACCCTTTCATAATGAGGGGGAAAAATAGTGATGATGTTTGAAAGCTTCATAGGTGTTAATAAAAGGTAGTGCTTTTTCAGCTACACAGAATGATAAATACAATGGGCTTTTGCAGGAATCGGTCTGTAGGACACAAATTATTGTAGCACGACTTTGATGTACACAGGATGCACCTTTTAAGGCCCAAAGCAAGGTGACCTTTTAAATGAGGTGAGTGTGTGCTGAGTTTTCCAGTTGACATAATGGCGCTGGGCCCCATTCTGCCCTTGCAGTGTATTTATAATCTTTATTAATAAGTCACCTACTGATGGTGGGATGAGGGCAATTTTCTTGGAGAAGCTAGTCCTAAGCAGCAGTGATCCAGTGAGACCATCTAAGGCAAATAGAGCTGTTTCTGTTCTGCATAGGTGATGTTGGGGCAGGCTTTGACAGTCACTGCAGGGTGTCTGTGTTTGATGGCAGTGGGGCAGGAGGTGAGTGCATGTGGCCATGGCTGGGTGACAGATGTGTGTGGTAGGGAGGTCTGTGCTCTGCTGTGCACAGTCTTCCACACTCATGGTCATACAGCCAGTGAAGTGCAGCGTGAGCTGAGCCCACAGTGTTGTCTGTTCCTTTACCCTTTAACACATTTTCTCCAGGCTGCTAAAGCTGATGACATCTAGCACTGAATACAGCTAAACATGTTTGACATGGAACTGAAAATCTTCCCTGTGACTGTTCTGAAAGTTGTGTCAATGTGTTTTTCTTGCCTGTGGGTTTTTTTTTTTTTTTTTTTTTTTTTTTTTTTTTTTTGGGTTTTTTTTTTTTTTTTTTTTTTTTTTTTTTTTTTTTTTTTTTTTTTTTTTTTTTTTTTTTTTTTTTTTTTTTTTTTTTTGGTTTGTTTGTGAAACTCCTTGCTCTTGACTTCAGATTCTGGGCAGTTCATGAATCTCTTATTAGTTGGTTTCTGCTTTTACCCAGAAGCCAAAAGTTTGAATTTGTGAAATTCAACAAACACTGGGTGAAATATTCCCCTGAGAAAATGGTTTAGAGAGAGATGAGAGCCACTGGATGCTTTTCACGAAAACTTAGGAACAAAGAGGTGAAATGTGGGGTGCAGCAGGGGTCAGCATCCCAGGAAGCCACACTGGTGGTGAGGTGGTGGCATGTCAAGCTGGGCAGAGCCAAAACGGAGCCCAAATTGTGTTTTACAGTCTTTATACAAAGGCTTTTTTGTGCTCTCAGTTTCCCAGCAGCTGTCTGGCAGCCGTGCTATGGAGGCAGGGGAGGAAGGCTGGTCACAATAACATCCCAGGATATCTCAGCTCTGTGGTGGCTCTTGTTTCACTGCTGTTAAATACCTCCTTTTAGGGCATGAGGTAGGGAGAAGAGGGGATATTGGTGATGCCCAGAGCAGAATCCTGGACAAAGCAGGTCCCTGCAGCTTCAGTGGGAACCGAGCCCACTCCTCCATCTGTCAGGATGCCCCGACACTATCCTGGCAGTGCTGCCTTTTGGGCTGGTGTATTTTGTAGTGGCAGCACCATGACCAGCTGACTCAAAGGATGGCTCCAAGGTTACAGCAGGTGCCTCTGGCTGGAGTAACCCCAGGCTGGAGAGCTTTGCTACAGCCTTTTCTGGTCATCCCTCCTCCATCCCCCAGGCGTGTGGGTGGGAGCCTCAGCTGCAGAGGGGAAGGGCACCTGCTGTCCCAGGGGCCAGGTGCCAGCACGTGGAGCCAGGGTGAGTTTCAGCTGTCCCAGGATTAGCAGCAGGGAGCTGCGTGCAACGTAGGTGCTGACGCAAAGCTGCTTGTGTGAGGGATTCTCAGCCTGTCCTTTCCCTGACATGGGCCAGCAGCCTCCCTAGAAGGTGAGCTGCATGTAGCTCGGTCCTGGCCTCTGCACGTGGTGCCTTTGAAATGGCCAGTCAGCGATTCCAGGGACAGGGTTTTCTTTTTAAGAGCATTGTTTCTGACCATGCCTCTGTGCTTATCTAATTAATTATTGGACCTTTCCTTTGATTCTTCTCAGCAGTGTGTTTCAAGGGTAACATGCTAAAACACTCTATATGAGGAGTGGCAATGTCGAGGACCAGGTTACAGAAGGAAAGGCAGACTGTCATCTTGGTGAGGAATAAATCCAAATTTCTTGGTACTATTTGAAGACGTGAGAAAATGAGGTTCAGTGAACTAAGTTGTATCAAACCCTCAAGAAAGGGAGGTAAACGCTTTTCCCTTTGGAAGCGTGGGAGTTTGATGTAGGTATCAAACTAGATCTAGGGAGGGTAGTCTCTCTTTGGGTGTGCTGACCTGAACAGTGCTGTGGTTTTTATCTTTTCGTTAAGTGTGATTGAGAGTCATGCCCTTCCCCATCTGAACCATTGCATCTTATTTTCCAAGCAGTGAAATGGGCTTTGGCAGCACTGGCTGTATCTGGGCACAACGAGAATAAGTTTGTGTTTACAGGAAAGCCCTTTGCCCTGGCAGTTAAGAACCCCAAACCTGCTGAAGATGTCTCACAGGTGTAATTGTACCTGCTGCTTTCCCAGCACTGTTGTTGCCTTGATGCAGTGCACCCCAGCTACTTAACAAACGGGCAGCCCTCCGTGGAACGATTCCCCATCAGCTTTAAAACCCACTTCTCAGGGAACTATTTTCATCACGTGGTGCTTGGGATTTACTGCAACGGCCGCTACGGCTCGCTGGGCATGAGCAGGCGATCAGACCTGATGGACAAACCTCTCACTTACCGAACTCTGAGCGACCTCATCTTCGAATTCGAAGACTCTTATAAAAAGTACTTGCATTCAGTCAAAAAAGTCAAAATCGGGTTGTATGTCCCACACGAGCCGCACAGCTTCCAGCCCATCGAGTGGAAACAGCTGGTCCTCAACGTGTCCAAAATGATGCGCACAGAAGTCAGAAAGGAGCTGGAGAAGTTTGCCAGGGATATGAGGATGAAGGTAGGTCCATGCACCTGGGTGTTGGGCTCAGGAGGCACCTGTGTCTTGTCCCATCCTGCGGAGATGGATCTTGGTGTGTGTCAGCCTGAGATCATGCAGGTATCAGGTGTGCTGGGTGGGTGCTTGCATCTCTCTTGGTGCTGCTTCCCAGGATTTTTGGTGTGCTTTCAAGCCCTTACAGCTATTTAGTTGAAGGATTTCCCCTTTAGCCTGGGAAACACTTGAACCCATACTTGTTCCTGGCTATCAGGGAGCTGTTGCCCAGTTTGCTTTCCTCAGTGACTCCAGAAGAAGGTGACTGGGAAGAATCAGCATGGCTGGGCTGAAACTGCTGGGAAGAGTGGCCCGGTTGCAGGTTGGGGGGTCTGTGTTTTCTACCTGAGCTGCAGGAGGTGCCATGGGACATCTGTGTCAGTGGCTGCCTCTCCTTGCAGGACATGCCAGGGGGCTGATGTCTACTACCCTCAGCTAAATCACAGAGTAAATTATGTGGGAAAGGCGAGTAAAGTGACTCCCTGAGAGACTTCCCTGCTGGCTGGTTGGACTGAAGAGCTCATTGGGAAACAACGGGGAGACAAGGCAGGCTGCCAGGGACCTGGAGGGTTTGGCTGCCCTTGGGGATGAGGGGTGTCCCTGACAGTGCCTCTGAGCCTGGCATGGGTGAGGAGCTGTTTGTGGTCACAGTGGAAGCAGATTTGGTGCCTGTCCAGCTGGTTGCCAGCAGTGAGAGCAGAGCAGGTGTGTTGCTAAGTATGGGTCTGGCTCTTGTGCAGAGGTATGTGGCATCGTGTCCAAGTTATTCTGGGTTCTCGTCCCCTTCCCTGCTAAAGGACGGCTCCTACGTAGCAGCCACGTGCCTTTTTGGCGGAGGCACCTACCCCCTTGCCCTGACCTTGGGGTGAGCCTTGCCAGTGGCATCATAGCCCCTATGTTCTGCTGCCATCTGTCCTGCCCTGCCAAGGAGTTTTGAGGGTCACCTTGTACCGTGCTATCACCTTAAGCATATGGCCTTGATTACTGATGTAATTAAGTTTGGGTTTTTTCCTTCTTCTCTATTCATGCGCTTTTAATATTATCCAGAGAGCAAACAGCTGAAGCAGGCTCGAGTTGAAGAAGTTCACATAGGTGGATGACTTACTGAATTTTGTACTTGTTTTTGATAGAGGGACCAGCTCTCTGTGTGCACTGAGTTGTGACACTGGGTGTTGTCCTGTGATGTCCTGGGTGTTGTCCACACTGTGAGTGCCTCAGGGTCAGGACCCTGAACCCTTCTAGACTGAAGGCCCTGCATCTGATCTTTCCCTCGAGTTACTGCAGAATTCAGAGGGCTTCTTTGTGAGTGGGTTGAGTTTGGAGGATCAGGTCTTAAAAGCAGTCCAGAGCATGAGTGTAATGCTGATGGCCCTCTGATGTTGGAGGGCCTGAAGGATGGGGGCAAGTTGGAGACCTACTGAAAAGCCTCACTGTCAGAGTTCAGCTGCCAGCCTAAGAGATGGTCACCTCTGTTTGTTGAGAGAAAAGCTGGAGAGGGCGATTTGGCTGCCTGAGTTTCTTTCAGCTGAGGCTCAAAGCCATTTTTCTTATCTATTGCTGTTGGCAGCTCTGAAGAAAGCTGTGGATGAGACAGTATTCATCTGGGAACTGAACTGGTGACACCAACTAATTCTTGCAGGAGGCCCCTGAACAGCTATCACATGATAACAGCTTTGAGTTCCTCTTAACCTGGGCAGGGTTTGAATAAGCCCCAAGGGACTGAAGGCTCTTTGTGTGCCATCCCTGCTACTGTATGAGGCCCTTTATTTCAAATTTTTATTTGCAGTGAATCATTGCCTTTATTGAAGGCCACTTCCTTCCCTCCCCCATCTCTCACAGATTCTGAAACCCTCAAGTGCCCATTCTCCAATGAAGGAGAGACCCCGGGGGAAGTCGCTGTCCCCTCGCCGGAGGCAAGGTAGCCCTCAGAGACGGGCTTGCAGGAGAGATAAATCGTGAGTATTCCTGCCACCATCCCTGCTGGGGCACAGGGGGAGGCTGCTGATGTTGCTTTGCTGTACAAAACTTCCGTGCTCACTGGCATGTACAGGAAAATGGCACCAGGTGCCTTTGTTACCAGAGAGGCTCCAGAAGCTGCTGGCACTGCTGATGTCCTGGCATTGCTGTGCTTCCTGCTGCCTGATGGCCCCTTCGTGCAGAGTCCTTGCACTGTGCAGTGTACAGGGACAGGGGAAAAGTAAACTTGTCTTTCCAAAGTGACAACATCACTTGAATTGTATTCTTTGATTTTAATCAGCTCAGAAAAAACCCAGGCTGCTTTCCATGTGTGTCATAGCTAAGAGCTGTTCTTCAGCTGTGTGGGGAGGGATGGATGCAATACCTCTAAATGGATAGAACTGTGCTTTCAGATGCACAGACCCTTTACAGCCACTGGCAATTCAGACTCCCCTACCTTAGATGTGGAAGAGCTGAGTTCTAGCTGTAGTGCTCCATGCCAGGAAGCTGACAACTGTGAAAGACTATATGTAACCCAGATTAGTCACATATTTATGATCATTGCTTTTTAAACAGGCTCCCAGACTACTGTCTCAACAGTTATTTATTTATTTTAAAGCAGCTAACAAAGACATTAGACTAACCTTCTAAAGATAACTTCAAGATACGTTAGCAGCAGATGATTTCACAGCAAGCTTTTATTTTTACATGTTCATTCACACTCAGTCCACGATGCTGTACTTTGGGCTTCGTCACTGAGAGCTCCTTGTTTAGTGCATAGATAATTATAGTTGTAATGGGCTCAGCTGCTTCAGGCTTCTTCACCTCTTAGATTCTCTTTGAGGAACAGTTTAATTTTTGAGTTTCTGATAGTGCTTCTGCAGTTGCTGGAGTGGATGAAGTATTTCTGGAGAGGAATGAGTGTCACTGGGCTTGCAGACTCTCCAGTTGAGGTGGTTTCCTGAAAAAGCTGCTGGGCATGTGGCTGCTCTGCAGTGACTGATCTCTCCTTGGCAGCTTTGTTTTTCCAGGACAGAAAGACAGGGAGTGTGCAGGTGGCCTTGCAGTGGCTTCAGCACTTGTTACCTGCTCAGTGGTTCTGTTCTGTTGCTCTGTATCAAGAGCAAATTATATGTAACTCTAAAATAAACCTTGGGTCACCCTGATAGAAGATGCAGGACTCAGATGCAGTGTGATGAGCTGTGAGCCCTGAAGGGGGAATGGCATCCCCAGGTCAGGGATGACCTGAATGACACATCCCAGCACGTGCAGAGGTTGATATAAGGTGAGAAATACAACAGGAGAAATGGGATATTCTCTTCTCCATATTGATGGATCTCTGAGAACCTGATGGAGTGAGAGGCCTTTGTGTTACACACAGAAGAGGAAGGAGTCAGGTTTGCTAGGCTTTAGGCTGGAATCCAAGCTAAAGAATGGCTGTGCTTATCAACACTGTTTTGTTTCTTTGTGAATCTCTTACTCATGTGCTGTAATTACAGCTTTCTTGAGCTTGCTGGGGAGGGGGAGAGAAGTATTTTGCTCCAGTGTGAGCTGGCAGGGGCAGAATAACACATTCATTTGAAAGGCTTCACCTGCTGATGACAAGCTGTTATTACAGCCTGGGTTTTGTCAACAGTAAAATTATATGGGCCTGCTGGGAGAAATCTCCCACTGAAGGATATGGAGTGTGAACTAGAGTATCTTGGCTGGATTGTTTCTGAAGGACAAAGGCTGAAACTGTGCTTAACGATGGAAGAGGATTTCACAGCCACAAACATTTAATTTCTCATCCTTGCCCCTTCAGCTTTATTAGGTAAATGTTAGTGGTGGCTGCCAGCAAGCCCACAATAGCCTTTCAGCTTGGAAATACAGCTGCAAGGCAGGTGGGGCACATTGCAGGACAGGTGGCAATGCAATACCCAATGCATGCCTGCCTAGGAGGCTGGTGTGTAGTCAAATTGCAGCTTGTTAACTGAGCTGTGCAGCAGTCCCTGTGCTCTCAGCCCACAGCTGGTGTGATCCTGCATGAATGCAGAGGATATAGACATAGAGGGTGGTGTCAGTCTTGCTGGAGAATCTGAAGCTTTACTGTATCCACTTGCCCATCCTCTGAAGTCCCAAAGTAGAAGGGTGCAGTAAATTGCAGACCTGTCTTGGAACAGGCAGTGAAGTGTTTCATCCTCACTAGGAGTTCTTGGAGCTGGAGGGGCTTGGGAGAGTTGCTATGAGTTTGGAAGGGAGGGTCATGCAGCAGTCTGGAGAATCTCTGCTCCTAAATGTCAGCTCACCAGATCTATTTCTTTTCAATTTCACATTGAGTCTTAACGTGCATGCTTTGCGAGTGGTGTGGCAACACTGGCCTTGTGTGCTTCCAGCCCAGTGTAGCTGCTGAAAGCGCAATTCTGCTAGTCTGTTTTATCATGGATGTGCAAGGGGGCAGGATTACATTAGGATGTGTAAATCAGGCAGCTTCAGTGCAGACAGCTAATGAATCCTGTGTGCCCAGCATCTGGGCACAGCTTGCTCACCTGCTCGTGGACAGGGTACTTTGGACAGGAGGTGTGATCTGATGGGCCAGTAAAGCAGAGGCCCCTGGCCTCAGAGGGATGTTTGGCATAAGGTCATTTGCCAGCCGAGGAGAATGGGATCTGTGGTGCCTCTGGTCCAAGTCTTGTCTTTTCCTGAAACTTATGGAGGCCAGTCTGTTTGTAGCTAAAAGCTACAGACAATTGTGGATGGGTGGAAATAGGCATGTCATCATGGGTGTACAGTGACTCCCCATCTCTCCTGGATAATCAGCGAAGGTACTACCATCCAGGCATGTTTAATTAAAACCATATTGTGACCTTAATTAAAGGGAGGGAGAAAAAGGTGTGAAGAGAATCCCTAAATTGGAGAGAAGGGGAAAGGAAGGACACTGGAAATTTCATACAGTGCATCTCTTGCTGGTCTCTGACTCCTACATCAGCTCTGAGGGATGCAGCTTGTAGCTTGTTTACTGATTAGTCAAATCCCATCTGCTTGGAAGGAATAATGTGGAAAAATGCAAATTACCTTACAGTGATTTCTTTTAAGTGTGATCCCTTCCTACAAGTGAGAAAGACCAGTGAAGACTCCTTCACTTCTGTGAATTACTTAAACCGAGACAAACAAGAAGCATGGTGCAGGGCAGTACTACAGTGAGGATGGTGAGGTTATTATGAGAGGTGCTTAGATAAATGGCAAAGCAACAGGTTTCATTCAATGTGTCACTAGGCAGAAGAGCATTAGATGCCTCAAATGCTGTGCAGATTCTCAGCAGGGATCTGGTGTTAGCAGTTCTGCTCTTAAAAAGAAAAAAGTAAAAAAAATCCTTATTGAATTGAGGAATTAAAAAATATTTCAGAGGCTCTGTTGCGTGCAGTATGTGTGAGCTATACACTCTCAGTTCTTGGGGCTGCAGCAGTACAGCTCTTCCCTGGTGTGTGCCCCAGCAGTGTGCCACAGGCAGGGCTGGGCTTTGCCTGGTTTCCAGCCTGCCTGTGACACTGCTGCCTCTCGGGGGCCTGCTGCCTGCCCTGAGCTGCTCCAGTGGGAATGGGCTGGCAGCCTGCAGCGGGGAGATAAGCGCCAGCCTGGCTGTGCAAACTCAGGGGTCACATCTGCTGCAGAGTGAGCAAAGAGTAAGCACACAGAGCTGGAAACCAGGGCTGAGCAGCTGAAAGCACTGGAGCCATGATCATTGTACTGCTGGGGCTTTAGCTGTGTTTCTGCAGGGAAGCAGACGTGCTATGGAGTACTAGAGAAATGTGTGCTTTAAACAATGTCTGTCTTTAGAAAAGACAGACGGCTTAGTGTGAAAGCAGCCAAGAGCCTACAATAAATTCTCAGATTAGACACTTCCAGACTATAAATCAGCTGGCTAGTTTCAGTTTGACAACTTTGTTGCAGGAGCTTTTCAATTCCTTGCTAAAAAAAGAGACTGATAGCTCAAGGTTTCCTTTGGTTCAGGCTGTCCGAATACTTAAATGGCCTAACAGCGTCCATGTGTGTGTGATTGCTCAGGTGAATGGTATCAGAATGTTGAATGGCAGGAGGCTGAAGGGAGTCCACCCTGTTTGGTGGTCTCCAGCCCCTCACACAGACCCAATCAGGAGGAGGGGGCAGGCTGGGGGACAGCCAACACGCAGTGGCCATGTCAGAGGCCCTGCCTGTTTGCTCTCAGCTGTTCTGGCTTTGTTCTGAAAGCTGGAGTCCTGCTCCGGGGTAGATGACAGGTGGGGCGTGTCTAGTCGTAGCTACTCATTTAGGCCCTCCCTCACGTCAGGAGGAGGGGGTGCTTCAGGCTCACATCCTGGATCCCAGCACGGCTCAGCTTGTGCTTCACTGGTGTGTGGCCTCAGAGACAACACACAGATAGCTCTATCACAGTAGTTCCTGTAGCAGATTTTCCAGGATTGTGTTTAAGATGACATTAGCTCTATCCACCCTCCTGTGAGGCGAGCTTTTCCCTGTGTGGCTGCTGTGCTCTCCACATCTGCACGGCCATGCGGGATCGCAGCGCCCTCTTCCCTCCCCTGTGCACAGGCCGGCGGTGCTGGACAAGAAAGGAGACCTGGCTACACTCAACGAGGTGGGCTACCAGCTCCGCATCTGACACAGCCGTGCCACGGACTCCAGAGGGCTCCCCGCTGCTGCCGCTGCACTTTACCTGCACTCCCTTGGAAGGAAAAAGGAATGGGACTGTTTTTTAACTTACATACTCTCACAATAAAAGTTTGACCTAGAAAATAGGGGGTAATTTTTTTTTTGGTGGCAGTATTTATTTCAATTTATAGAAAAGGCATCAGTGAAGGGAACCTAAAATCAGATTTGCCAGGGTATGAGATTTTTTTTCTCTCCCATCATGTAGCAGGTGACTTCAGTCATGTGAGTTTCTTCAAATATAATTTCCCAGTACAAGTGTTAATTGAACTTGGCCTTGTGCTGGGTGGTTGCATTGGAGTAACTAACAAATCATATTCTTAGTATTAAGATGTGCTGGGGTGCAGTGCAATTAAAAAAAAATAATATTCACTATTTATCTTTAATTCAGCAATAAAAGCAAGCAGTGAAGAAGTGGCATAAGTTTTTAAAGTATCAATATTACCTCACTAGACTTAATAGATATGCAAAACTGTCAGTATTATTGTTTTCTAACCAATTTGTACTGTTTCCCGGCATTACTGGGAGTATTAAAACAGCACTGGATGTTTTACTGCCACCTGTATTATTATTTTCTGCATGTTGCCGAAAGATGTTAAGTAATAGTAATATGCAATTGTATTCTTAACACTGACATCTTGTTAGGCAAGATACGAGGTTTGGGGTTTTTTAAATTATGATAATTGATGAATAATGAATTTTTAAACTTTCATAATTTTTTTGTACTTTTGTCACAAGCTTTTAGTCTTTCTGAACTATACCGCTGAAGCACAAAACACAGAGATTGCTGTTTTGTAGAGACAAGTCAGCTTTTTTCTCATATATGTAGTACCTGGAATAATGGAAAAACTGTGGGAATTGCTAACCTGAGTCCATGTGCTTTTCTTTCCACATTTACGTGCATATTTGAACCTTGTCTTTGAAAGGCTGAGCAGTCTCTGATGGTGATGCCTTGAAACCTTGTATTATATCAGGCATGGCAGGCTGAAGTTAAGCCTTCTGCTGTGCTGTGCAGGGAGTTTTCCTGCATGTGTTGTAGTAACTACTGCTTAGTCAGACTTGAATAAGGAAGTGTGACTGAAATAGATGAAAATCAAGCTTGTCTGCTTCCTCCCTGCTCAGTTGTTTTGTTGTAAGACTTGGCTAAGGACCTGTGATGGACAGCAGTGTTCTCAAGTGACGCGGTAAGACTCACTGGGGTCCACCATTCGACTTAGTGAAGTTCTCTGGAAGCATTTGAGTGCTGCATTCCTGGAAATGTTTCACTAGGTGCCTAAATATAAACTGGATTATTGTACATGTCCAGCCTCTACCCTTTGTGCTGTGCTCATAGATGATGCTGCCATGGGCCTGGTGTACCTCCCCTCCTGGGCACTTACTTTTTTGGGATCTCGATGAAGATGGATGCTGTTACAGACTGACAGTAATGCTTATTCAAATGGAATGATTCAAGCTCCTAGAACATTTCCATCAGCCAGAAAAGGAATGAATATAGAAGGAAAGAACTGCTAGTTCACAGACCTCATTGCTCAAAAAAACTGAATTTCACCTGCCTAGGACAGGAAGAAAAACCAAGACCCAGCAACTCTCTACAGCCAATGAAAGGCTTTCTACTAATTAAGACTTCAGAAGCTCTAAAAAGAAAACTTTTTGAAAGTGTGACACCTCTTTATCCAAGTTTACCATATCAATAACAGGAGGGCCTTTCCCATCCCTCCTTCTCTAAACTTTTCCACTCCTGTGTTCACAGTAAGATTTTTTTTGGTTAAGGAGTGAAGCTGAAGAGAGGGAAATACTCTTTTGGTAGAAATTCTTGTGTGATTTGACATCAGCTGCAGAGTTTTGGTTTAAAACTTTGTGCTGCCCAGTGTTTTGTGACCTAAATAATTTTTTTAAATGACTTCTCATGGATAAAATGATGTGGAAAAACTTTTTATCAGCTGTATCCTATAGCACAATGTTATCTGATAGGTTGCAACTTTTTTTCTATGAAACTATGGTTTACTTCAGCTCAAATAATGGTTGTATATAGTTTCTACCCTTGTCCAGCACACTTTGGTTTCTCTTAACTGATACTGAAGCTTTTTAATGCTGTAGAGGTGTGTTGACAAATTGCTTTTAGTCCTTGTTTAAAGTTCTGCTGAAATACTCTCTTGAAACTTGCTTATGATGGCATTTGTCTTAAGTGTGGTTCAAGTGACAACAAAGTGGTCAAATAGTGTAGAAAAACTTGCATGACTTTTTGGGCTTTTTCTCATCACTTGTATATGCACAGCATGAAACTTCAATAAAAGTATCATGGTAGTCTTTTTTTTTTTTTATGACTCATGTGCAGTTTTTTTTGTTTTTGCTCTTAACAAGGGTTGCTCCAAAGGGTTAGCTGTAATGTGGGTGTACCCAGAAATTTTTTGCCTGTATCTAAGTATGCTGGCATCTATGACATTACACAGATGCTTGAAACCAGACAGGAGCCAGAATCAAACAGGTTGTCATCCTCAGCATCAACCTCACTGTTAATAGGTAGAAGAAATTTACAACTACTATGTTCAATTACAACTACCTATGACTATGACCAAAGTCAAATTTTCAGCAATGTAAGCTGAATGTTTTGGCAGGTGCTTATATTTTGTAATGGACTGAGGAGCTTCTTTAATTGCAGTTGTCTGCAGTCTGGGAAAGGCAACACAGGTGAAAATTCCACAAGTGCTTCTGGGAGACAAGTGTGTCTGAATGGGTGCAGGTTTTCCAGCACTACACTGAAAGACAATTCTGTTACTTCCAAGTTGGTTCAACATACACATCCATGTGTTGTTTGATCAAGTTACAAGATTTGTTTCCAGCCCCTCTACATTTCCTATTCAGGCAGCCTAGTGGTTTTTTAATTACTTTGTAAATTATATTTTATACAGAATGTTTAGAGTGCACAGTGAGAGTAAATATAAAACCATGATAATTTAATAACCTCAGGATCTGTCATTTTAAGACAGAACCTGGGCTTTTTAATAACTAAATGGAAAAAAAACCCCACCCTATCACCAGCTGTTCAATATGTATGAAACCTCAAGATGTCAAGGGCTAATTTTTTTGCTCCTGCATAGATCAGTAAAGTTTCCTGTGATGTGGTGTGCTCATTAAGCTTAACTTTATTTCAGATTCTTTAAAAAAGATTTCAGTGAATGCTACCTAGATATAAGCCCTCAGAATTTTAAGCAGCAAATTCTTAAAGAATAAGTATTTGCCTATATGACTTTCTTTCTCTGAAAGTTCAGTCTTGCAGCCTCTGCACTGACAACACTGAGTAAATTCCTTTGCAGAAGTATTAAGATGGAAGTGTCCACAAAGCACCTTTGTAGTAAAACATTATTTCAACTCATAAAATGCTGCAGGCACACAAACACGTTCCCTTTGCTTGAGGAAACACACAGTTCTCAGAATAGTCCTTTTTACTGTGATTTACAATAAAAATCATTTACAACATATTAATTAAAAATAATGCCATTTGGAGTCTGGCACAGATGTTTTCCTTTCTCAAAGAGGAAGCTAATGTAAAATCCTTTTTCTCCCTAAAAGACTTCATAAAGTAAATTAAACATTTTTTTTTTGTTTTAAAAAGGAAGTCCCTTTAGAAAGTCTACTTTACACAACACTAATAAATCAGCATGCAGGAACACTTATTTGAACCGGACCAGCAGTGCTTGAATGAAGCTTTTAAAAAAATAATAATCATCCCATGAGAGAGAAGGTAAAGGGAACTTTACCTACACCACAAGTCCTTTCAATATTACCGTTCAATAAGCCTGAACTCTGCTAGCAGTGGCAGGTGATCAGAAGAGTTCTTTTCATTGGGAAGACCATTAACAGTCCAAAGATCTTTCTCTGTTAGAAGTGCCAGCCTGCCAAGAAGTCTCAGACCTCCACAAAAAGAATCCTCTGCTCCTGTTAGAAAAAAAACCAACCAAAAGGCAATGTTTATCAGTGTGGGTAAAATATTACATGTTCATATAGATGTAGAAGGAGGAAAACAGTATGGCAGCAATAATGCACAGTTGTTAGTGTTCCATGCAAAATCACCAATACAACAGTTCAGAAATTCTTTTACAACTCAAAACAGTTTCATCAGTAGAGCTCAAAGTATTCAGAAGGACACTATTTTGTGGAGGGGTAAATAGAAATAAAAAGGAAAATGCATTTATTTGTCCATTGTAACTCCCCTGAAAAAGCCTCATATAATCCAGTCCATTACTTTGGACAACAGCTGACACTTGTGAAGGTAAGCATCTTTTTAGAGCTACTGGTTCACATAACATTTTATTTCTGTATCCTCAAGCACACAGTTCCCCAGCAGGCAGGTCATATGGACACTTTTGCTCATAAGGGTGAAGGTATTCTAGCTTTCTGTTCCCTTTCATCATAAGCAAGGGATCTCCATTATCTCCTGCTACCTATTCCTGTAACTGCCTAAGAAATCCACCCCCACCTCCTTCCCCAGATGAAACACCACACTGCTCATGCAAGAGTGAACATGACTCAAGCCTTGCAATTACTGCACAATTACACAGAATGGATTGGGTTGGAAGGGATGCTAGGGATCATCAAGTTCTGACCCACTTGCCATGGGCAGGTAACACTTTCCACTAGACTGTGTTGCTCAGAGCTCCATCCAGCCTGACCTTGGACACTTGCACAGATAGAGCAGCGTTGGTCCCAATACTGATCCCTGAGAAATGCCACTTTTCTCCACCTGGACTTTAAAGCATTGATGGCAACTGTTTGTTTCCAGCCAATTCATGGAGTGGTGCAGCCACCAAATTAATCTCTCCAGCTGCTGGGCAGGACCATGTCAAATGCGTTGCACAAGGTAGATATTCAGTTGTTCTTCCCTTTTCTACAATTTTCTACAATTATTGCCCCTCAAGGCCACTAGATTTGTCAGTCATGATTTGCCCATCATCAAAGAGCAACCAGCTTTTTCAGCTCAGGTGGAGAAATTCCACTGAGATCCTTCCATGATGTGTAAAATTTAGATTTCCTGAGCTATGTATTCAAGTTGGACAACTACTCAGCAACCTTACCTACTGCTTTTAGAGTGCAGAGATGATCCTGGGCAAGTTGAGTGCTTTCAGGACCAGCACAAACTGCAGCTGTAACTTTTGACAGAAATAGTTTCTGTGTGAAAGTTCTCAGCAAATTCAGAACTTCCTGGCTTGCCCTGGTACTGGCTTCCCAAAGAGATACTTTAAAGGACTATCCAGCAACTGCTGAGCTCCTCAGAGAGTTCAACAGCTTCATCCTTTGCCATCTGCCAGCTTTCCAGCCCTTCAACAACCCAGCAGCTGTTTGCTGCTTTAAAGAAAAGCTTTTTTACTGCAAAGATCTCTTGGCAGCTCTAGAGCACATATCCACCAGGTCTTGAGACAAATTTATCATTTGGGACAGCACCTGCATATCTACAAAGGAGCAGTGTGTTGCCACAGAGAGCTTGGTCTGCATGCAGTGGTTAATGTCATTTAGTACACTCAGCAAAACTGTGCCCTGCAGGACTTAGGTAGATACTGAACCCTGGTTACAGGAAATCCTGAATACCAAACCAAATATCTGGATAAACATGACAGAATAAAGCATGAATATTTTAAAATAAAACCCTTTAAATGGAAAAAAACAATCTGTGAGCCTAGACCACATTTAAAATTCACTTGTACAGACACTGGCAGCTTTAAATACAGAGGCCCAGGTCATTAGAAAACTGAAAATCCAAACCAGGCTTAATTTCTAAGAGCTCATGAATAAAAACTGTACTAGTTTAAAGTAGTTGGAAAATTCAAGTTTGGTTCCATTCTGTACTCTGATGTAGGAACAATCTATTTGAAAAACAAGTCCAAAAAGAAAAAAGTGCTGTATCTCTGCTGAAGCAACGATGGTGCTGATGATGCAAAAAATATATAATGATGGTGCAAAAAATATATAAACAGGTGAACTAGGATTAAATTTTGTGCAGAGATGCACTCTGCAATCACACAGCACTGCATTAAATCACATGGCATTCCAAAGTCATTTAAATACTTCCCATACTGTCGCTTTTCATTCAAAGCTTTTGTATTTGCCATTTTACATTAAGTAGCATTTACTGTGCACATTATGACAAATGAGACTTCTGTGAATCGATTCAATGAATTTTAACAATCTAGTCTCAAGTTACAAGAGATGAAGGTGGTGTTTTCGTTCCACATACTGAAAAAACAGTATTAATTTATAAAAATCAGTGGCACTGTGCAGTGGGAGCAGGAATGGAATCCAGGTTTCTTTGCTCCAAGTTCTGCAGAGACATTTATGTGCTAGCACTGCACTGATGTTTGACGGCACAAAACACAGAACTCACGAGGGCATGGAAAGCAAACTGCTCAGAAGCACCCATGGAGCGAATCCCAGAGCAGTAAAGCTTGGAGAAACACTGTGATACCTATCACAAAATTCCCACAGAGGTACCGCGACTTTCTTGCACCATCTGGTGACTTTTAGCTGCAACTGCAAACCAGAGAGTGACAGCTGGGCCTGTGCCAGTGACCGTGCTCAGAGCAAAGGCCAAGAGTCTGTTACTTGGCAGAAATTACTGCAAGACAAGCTGAGAAGTAAATTGCCAGGAAACGGTTCCTTTATCAGTTTTAATGCACATCACAAATTGCTGTTCACCATTGTGTTGATCAGGTGATTGGGAATACTGCCTTGCCGTAGGTCTGGCCTGCATTACTGACAGCAGTACTTCTCAGGTGCTACTTCCACTGCTGCTTTCCTGTACCTCCAGCTTGTCTCCATGCTGAGACAGGAACTACAGAGATGTTCAGTCAGATGAAAAGGTTGTAGTGCCCTGTGTGGCACTACAAGTCCAGCTGTGATGAGCAGACAAGGTCAGCCACGTTTCTCAGGTAACACCTGACATTCAAAGCACTACCACAAACCTGTGAGGAACTTCACATGGATGAAATCATCACTACACTCCTCTTAAAACACCAAACAAATATTCTTGTTTAGCATTTATGAAAATTAAAAGTTGGTTTCCTTACCTGGCTGGTCAACAGTATCATCATTTGCTGCAGAATAGAAAATATAATCCACAGTGACAGCACTTCGGGAATGACAAGTTGTCACTTCTGGTATCCCAGTTTCAGGGAAGTAATGAGAATACACTGAAGACAATTTAAAATGGTGCCGCAATTTCGAAGACAACCTAAAGATACATCAAAGAAAAGAATTTTATTTTCTTGCATTATCAAGAAGGAATAAGCAATGAAGAAATACCAAATAGTTCCTGCTTACAAACAAAATGAATTATCTGGATATGCAAACTAGTGTTTCTCTCCTGGAAACCATCCCACAGCCTTTTGTGTGAGACGCCTAAAACTCTGAAGCAAAATGCAGGCAGCATTTTCAAGTAAAATTGCTGATGAGAACTGGCATAGCTGACACTTTACTTATAGATAGCTTTTAACTCCATATACATTCTGTAAGCATTCATATGTCCTCACTCAGCAATCTCTCCCTGACACGCAGGCAAAAATATCCCTGAAAGCAACTCATATGAAAGCAATAAAACACAAACTCATCTAACCAGACCCTTCAGCATAAACAGAAATTCAGTTTTAGTCGTTTTTTCCTCCCCCAAGCTAGAGGTATCAAATTCCAAGTTAGGCTATGCTTAAGTCTTTCCTCCACTCAGGGTCCCATTTTCTGTCTCACCATGATTTGTCTTTTCAGTTCAGCCCATCTTGTCTCACCTGTCTTTTCAATCTTGAAAGCAAACTCTAAAACTGCACCTTTCAGCAAAAGAACTCCTGTCTCTCAGACATTTGCTTCCATCATCTCTACAAATCATCCATCCCTCAGCTGTACCTGCCTCATCCTGCATTTTAAACCTAGGCTGCAATGTGTTCTGATTGAAATCCAAGCAATTAAAAAAAAATTTTTAAAAATCAGCACGTTACCTTGCCTGATTCAGAGCAGAGACAAACATGCCAGTTGGTATAACACAGACAAGTAGTGATTTCTGCTTTTGTTACATGACATCCCTTTTAAGATGAGGGAGAAAAGCACTGTAAGAAGCATTCAGCATGCTATAGTTTTAAACCATAGCATAGGGCTTCCTGTTTGTTATTTACTTCTTCTCTCAGAAATACCATGGCACCTTTTTTATCACCAAGAGTTCTAATATGACTATCTGCAGTGATACCAAGATCTCATTTCTGGTAAGAAATAGCTGACTTGGAGCCTATCATCCCATACATACATTTAGGGCAATTTCCTTCTTCTATGCCTTACTTTATATGCCTTTACCAGTTTGGTAAATGCAAATATATTCTTGCTTTCAAAAAGCCATTACATCTTCCTCCTCAGCATTCTAGCCATGGCTTCCTCCTTCTGAGTGAAAGTTGTATTGCCAAATCCATAATACTCCACATTTCTCAGACTCAAAGAACTTAAATACTCCCACAGAACTCATGACAAGGAAGATTTTATGACCTTTCCAGTTCCGTTCCCTACTTCCTCCCAGTTTCACACTGTATTATAGGATTTTATACATCCATAAACCAGTGTAGCAAAAACAATAAAAAGAGAGAGAAGTACCAATACTTTAGCAGCTGGACAACATTGTCTTATTTTTTCCTCTCCCACTTTTAAAAACATGGCTTCTGCAACTGGACTGAAGTTTCCATGTTTCTTGCAATGTCCCTACAGAGTCTGATGTTCTGTTTATGTCAAGAAGAGACAAAAAATGCCAGAAGCATTCTTTTAATGAGCAGACAGAAAGTACCCTCTAAACAGCACTGATACCTCAGCCCTGCATTCTGAAAAAATATCTGCAAGTTCCTGGAAGAACACACATTACATTATTGCCAGTTCTAGTCTTTTGCTGTCTGATCAGCTTTTTCATGTTTAAATGAACAATGTTTTTGCCAAAAAGGCAGATGGGGTTGGGTGATCATCAGGTATTGACAGCTGGAATCAGATATAAATTTGGTCTAAAACCAAAACCAACCCCCACGTAACCAGCCAAGGGCTTCCACATTTTTCCCCAATACATACTTTTCAGATGCTATTACAATCTCCTGAGTGTTGTCTGGTTTTGCTGCTTCCAATTTTTCTCCTGGAAAATAAAAATAAATTCAATTTATATTTAAAATAGAATATAAGTGAGACTAATGCTGAAGAGCTAGAGAAAAGCTACAGTAAAAAAAAAAAGGTATCTTTAAGTACACTTATTTTTTTTTCCATCTGGCAAGATACAATTCACCAAGATGGATTAAATTCTTCTTTTCTATTAGTAACATCCCCTCTAAAGACTCTTTTATATTATGTCCCATTAATTTCAAATTGTTTTTTCCGTCAAAGGAAAAAATAGTGGATGAAAGATGTAGCCATACTCAGCAAGGAATCACTTGCTTTTCCCAACTGTTCCATGAAGTGCCAACACTGTAATTCATAAACACTGAGGCAGAATGCAGGTCCACACTATGTCCATGTGCTGCATTCCTTCCCCTCCCTTTCCCAATCACAGCACAGCTGGCTTTCAGGATGCAAACACAGGAGCTTAAACACTGCACACCAATTTCCTGAAGGGAATTTCGAACTATTATCTTATAAAGATTCAAATTTGCAAAGTTTATAAATAAATCACTTTACACTCCAATGAGCCCAACAAGAAATTTCTGTAACCTCAAGACTCACTGTTTTTCCCCCAGTAAAACAGAATGTATGGTTTTCAGTACTAGCTCAATAGTACTTTCAAAGGCTCACAAAAATTCATTAATTCAAAAACTGACCTGCATTTTCTTCCTTTTGTTGCTGTTTTATTTCATATACACAGTTTTGTGAAATACCTAATTTTTTTGGCCAAATTGGAATAGGTAAGATTCTTTGTCCCCTTGGAAACTGTTCTTGTCCAGAGACCTGAGAAAGACAAGAAGTTTTTTTTTCAGACAAACCAAACAAACCTGAAATAAGTGAACATTTTTTGTCAAGTTTAAGGAAAAAGGCCCAGCCCCTTGGAATAATTATAATGAGTCAAATCCCTGTAAAAATAACACCCTTTATGTACATCCACTCTGTTTGTCTGTAACAAGTTCTTTGCAGGTACCCAGTTTTTCCAGATGGTTCTTGTGATACTGAGACACTTCTAAGGACACTTTTAGCAATGTGACAGCACTGGCTAAGCATACCGAGCTACCCAGCACACACTTCAGCTGCAGGATGCTGATCCTTCTGAGAGCAAGTCAAGTCAAATGGCGGCTTGAATCAAGTCCCCACTAGCAAAGAACACCCAGGGCTATTTTTTTTGTTTCCTCATTTTATGCAGTTCAGTCACTCCTATTACATAGCATGTGACACATCCAACAGCTGCATACAAGAGCTCACAACAAGACATCTTTTAACATGAAACAGTTGAGATTCAGCATCTAATTGCAGCTTTGCTTTTACAATTACTGTAGCCACCAAGTTTATCTACAGTAAGAGTCATCTTCCCACAGAGAACACAGTAGGTTTTTGATTAAGTGGTTATTTTATCCTACTTAAAGTCTGGGACACTTAAACACAGTGATAAAATCATCCAAACACAGTGATACAATCGTTCTGTGGATTCACTAAATTTCAGGAATGATTGTTGGTGAGTTTTTCTTTTCAGAATGCTGGGAGAGGACACAATATTCCCTAAGGCACAGCTAATATATCCAAGCTTATTTAACCGCAATAACTTTTGCTTTGCAGGCTGCTGACAGGGCACCAAGAGAGGCATTGCAATGGAAACAATCACATCACCACCCAAATACTTCTCGTTAATCAGCATTAACCATTTTTTGGTGAGACATGAGAAGCACAGCCTACCTTCCCTATAGCAAGTCCTTCATAATTTAACTTTCCTTCCTTTATAAATCTGTACAATGGAGAGCCAGGAACAGAATTGAAGTCCCCACAGATGATAATTGGGCAGAAAGAGCCATCCTTCTGAGGGGCAACACTGGCAATCTCTGCCAGGAGCATTGCAAGCTGGGTCAGTTTGATGTCTCCTCTCCTTGGGTTGTACAGCAGGTGTGTATTGGCAATACAGATGGCAGCACTGGCTTTACAGTGAAATCTGGGTTGCAGCAGCAACACCAGTCCAACGTTGTCCCTGTCCAAGAGTGGGATATCACGGCGAAAAAATTCCACTGGCTTTGAGGAAATCAGGCTAAATTTGGAAGTTTTGAAGCAAATGGCACAGCCATCAGGTTTTCTGCCTGTCCTCATTTTATACTCACAGTGATATCCTGCAAGAAAGGCAATTAAGAATATAAAATACTATTGTATAAATAGAGATTTTAAAACAAACAAAAAATCAGAAAGATCTCATGCTGCTTTTCTCACATCAGTCAACCCACAGTCTGAAGCACCAAAGTCTGTATGAAGTCTAATCACAGACTTATTATTAATTAGACTAAGTCTAATCTTAGCTGAGGTGAGGCAGGACAGGAAATGTGGTCCAATATGTTACGCAATGTGTAAACATCTACATACTCTAAGATACTAGTCATGTTCTTATCTCCTCATCTGGGAAAAAACCCAAGCCAAAACAACAAAGAAACCCCCACAAGGCACATAGAAGTGGCCTAGTGCATTGAAGTTTTTTCTGGATGCTGCAAGAATGGCTTAGGAGTAATACCAGTGAAGCATTACCAATCAAAAGCCTTGATCATGCTAAGTCATTACACAATGTCTAAAATTATTCATGGAACAAAGGTCTCAAATGTATTTACGTAATTATGCAATTATCCAGTGAGCAGCAAATTGCAAGCTTTCACCAAGGAAACAGAGACACTTATAAAATGACAACACTGGAGTTCAAACAAGTCCATCTAGAAATAGTGATTTGCCAGTTTTTTCATTTTATGTAGAGGTGATTTAAACAAGACGGTATCTATGTAAGGAAAAAAATTTAGACCTTGAAACAGTATCTAGTTTTTGCCATTTTAAAATGTTCTCTGCCCTGCCCAGACCATATGAAGTCATGAAGTGCCCACTTAGTGAAGTAGGGTGAGTTGATTTGAGCCTACACCAGTGCTGGAACAAGGGATTCCCATTCCCCTCTCCAAGATTCAGGTCATGTTGCTCCTGCCACTTGTTGTGGCACTTAGTGCTAACTCAGTAAGCCAACAGAAACTAACCCAGAAAAATAAAATTAGTCTGGACAGTATTCTGCTGGACTGGTGGATTTCACTAGTGAGGGCCAGAACTAGCCCAGTATAAGGGGCACGACATGCACCTGGGAGTTAGGGATGGGGAAAGGAAGAGCTAAAGCAAGCGTCACATCCTCCTGCACCGTAGTTACAAGCTCGCTTGCTCCCACAAGCCTGGTCTCCCAGTGTTGTTTCATGTTTCAAGTGGATTTCAATCAGTACTGCCATTACTCTCTTCTTTGCAAACACTCAATTCTAGGAGCTAGACTACCTCAACCAACCAAAAAAGAAAAAAGTATCAGTCCAGTGCTGCTCCTTGACCATGTCCTTCTGGCATCAGACAAGAACCACTGCCAGGATGGAAGTGGGACCCTGGCACTGGAAGGTGGTGCAGGGCATAAAAGATTTAGATCAGTTTAAACCACCATGGAATCAATCCTTAGCAACACATCCCTTCCATAAAATCACAAGTCTATTCAGACTGACTGACAGCACTTGTATAAAAACTTAATGAATATATACTGACCATGGATAACATTTAGTGCTAATACGTGGAAGGTTTCAAGGCACAAAAAACCATCCCCTTGAAGAGCTTCCCAACAAGAATACTGGTAAAAAAAAATTAAGGTGGTTTCAAGAGAGCACTTGATGAATTAGTAAAAGAGGATACACAACATTGTTGCATGTGATAGCAGAAGACTTGATTCTATAATCTATAAGAGGGGGTTTTTTTGTTGGTTTTTTTTTTTTTGTTTTTTTGTTTTGTTTTGTTAGGAAACTAGTTCTGAGTTCTCAAAGGGTAACAAGTTACCCCTGCAGGGGAGAAGAGTTTCATCATACCCAGGGATTCCAAACTTGACTTGATCTCTGTTCTATAGTGGTCTTCTTGGACTTCCTGTAAGCAGAGCACCTAAAAGGCAAAGGTTTACAATTAAAATATATTAGTAAGTACATCAACATGTTACTACAGCATATCTCTGATGGCCGATCTGTATAGGTATTAAAAAAAGCAAACTCAAAAGGTTTTTGACTCCATAATCCCACTAAAGAATTCACTCTTCTACAGAAAGCGCTCCCTAAGATTATGAAGAAGGCCCCAATTCCTCATTTTTCAGACAGACATTTTCAGACGTGAGATTCAGTTTAATCTAAATAGTAACTTGCTCCTACATTCTCAGCAGCTCAGGGGAAGGCTCAGGGAGAAGGGATGAAGAGGCAAATGGCATACTACAGGGTGGATAAAGGGCTTCCACATTATAAGAACCTGAACCAAAGATCAAACTCAAAATACTCATTTAAGAGAGTTCACGGAATCACAGGATATTTTGAGTTGGAATGGACCCACAAGGATCACTGAGTCCAACTCTAGCTGTGAGCATCTCTGAGCCTTCCCCCAGCACGCTGCAGAAACATAGCTCTACAGCCACCACTGGGATAAAGGACTGAGCTCCCAAAGGGAAACAAGTTACCCCTGTCGCTGAACTGCAGCAACACATTCCACTTGCCCAGCTGACATTAGCTCATTCAAGGTCTCAAGGGACAGTCAAATCTCAAGTAACATTCTGAAATCTCTGCTTTATTTAAGGTTACAGTTCCAACCAATGAAATAGTTAAAAATCTATGTCCTTTACCAAGAAACTTCTCTGTGGAAAGGACACCTGCATCTACCATGGTCTGAGAGCAGCTGCTCCTGTCAGAAAACTATCCAAGGTATCTCATTGTAAAGATACATGCATACAGGATGTATAGCTTTATTAGGAAGAAAGGAAGAGATTGAAGGGACTTTAATTTCCAGATTCCTGACTATGTACTAACATAACTGCATTTTTCAAATGGTACAAGGCTGGTTTTCTGTGGCTTCCCTAATACAACTACTTTTTTTCAGTACTGTTTTCTGACTCAAACAGGATGGATTCTATCACTGAACTTTTGTTGGTCTGAACAACAATTGAAGCAAAATGTTACTGACTTGACTTCCTGGTTAAGACTTAAAATAATTTGTGTCCTCAAAAACAAACAATAAACTCTACAACCAACCAAAACCACAGAGGTGTTTTTTCATACCCCAGTGCAGAGTAGCAGAATTTGCTACTTCAGTTTATCAGTTCTTAAGAAATATCCACATGCTCATTTTCTACTCACATCTGCATCCAGCTCTTTGATTTCTTGTAGGATGTTGGGAAATCTGTATGTCCAGAATAGCAGTCGCTGCCTGCAGTGTTTGTACAGGTGAGAGTTGTCTTCCAACAAATTCTGTGAGAGGATATTGTAGGACATGACAGTAAAATCAAATGTTGCCTCACTTCCTGTACTGCTTTGGTCAGATCCTTTATTTTTAGCAATTTTCATTGTTTTACTCTGCTGACAGAAATATTCCCAGCGTCTTTTGATGGCTCCTGTTAAAAGCACATGAAGCAGAAAAAAGTTATGTTATAGACCAAATGACTTCTTACTGCTCTTGGAAATCATTCTACTGACAACTATTTGTCCTTCAAATCTCTTAAATAATCCTAAAAGCTTATTCAATTAGCAGTGATTCAGACCCTCTGTTTGAGATGGATAAGCATCAGGATAAAAAAATAAAAATCAAACAAAAAAGCCCCAAAACCCAACCTTAAAATAAACAGCACAAAACCATCATATGCCCTGGATTTCAACTGCTTTGAAACTGGGGAACTGGCATATTCTAAGGAGAGTGTTGCAATCAGACTACATCCCCTGCTCTTGTAGAAGGGCTGCCTAACTGGTGAGCCAAATCAGCCTGTTGGGAGTCTTACACTGCCTTGTGTCACTGCCTCCTCAGCAGATGGTGTACGCTAGTCTGGGATACACTCCTTAGAGCAGCATATGGGCACCTTGTTGATCTCTCTATCCATGGCTAACAAAGGGTTAGGAAGCCATCAGTCACCACTAGCCCCTGTACAGTCTGTAAAACTCAGCCATAAGCTGCAACAGGGTCTACTACAGGAGTCCCAAGACAAATAATGAACCAAATTTTTCTCAGTGAGTTGAGAAATCAAGAAATTAAGTCTCAGAAATACCAAGAACTGCTGAAAAGGCTCCCTTCACCTTTCTGCCATTTTTAATTTCATACTTACTATTAGTAGGAAAATTCATAGTAACATATCTGCCCATCATTAGGCATCCAATTACTTTTTAAGAAATGCATTTCTCCACTTAAATCTCATAGAGATGCTTTTCACCCCTTATATCTGACCTCATCTGAGAGCAAGCTGAGGTCCAGTTATCTGTGCTACAACCAGTGGCAGACTGCAGCTATAGCTCTCACCATCTGTCCTATTTGGGTAGTAATTTTCATTGCTGTGCTTAGATTATTCAGGACTTTACAATGTTTGCAATGAATACAGCAAGTTAAGTTCTGTTTCTGTGGTGGGAGAGAAGCCACGTTGCTCCTCAGCAGGTATCTTTAATTAGCATCACCTTATAAAGGGTGACTGGGAAGGACCAGCATGCCAACCACACTCTCAGATAAAGCTATCTGATAAAAGACAAGCAGGGACTCAGTAATTAAGGCATAAAGCGAAGTCCCTTCCTTTGGCTCCTGAAATGAATATGATGTTTCTAAGCCTTATAGGTAGGTATTTGTGTCCAAAAATTCCTTTGGGATGCTGATAGCATCTATTGCCCTTTTTAGTCATAATAAAATTTCCAGTTTATTTTGCTAAGGAAGTGATTTATTCAAGAAGGCAACAATTTTGACTGTGTCCCTCTATTTGTCTCACACTAGACAAAACTGTAAGTATACACAAGGCTCAGGAAAATATTGGGATGCTATGTGCAAGACTGTATCTGTAACAAGCCAGCACAGATGCTTTGAAGTTTCATGGAATTTTGTTACTAAGCCCAGTAGACAACTCTGCACTTCTTCCTGTGTTTATCTGGATAAGCCCACATGCTGCTTGCTTTGTCAGATGTGATCTGACACAAAACTTGCCAACAAGCCAGTGGCAGAATACAGCTGTAAGAACAAAATCACACAAGCACACCGGAAGCATGTACCATTAAAACTCAGTGCCCTCTTTCTCAGTTTTCTAGGCCACAGATAACACCACTGGTCTGGAAAGAAACCACTTCAGGTCCAGTAGGGTTTATGAGCTCAGATAGAGCACAAGGAATGAAGCTATACAACTGCCAGTCCAGCTCAGCCCTACAGCAAGTCAGCCAAATATTTTTGCTTTCCAGAGCTACCAAGTTAACAGACATGACCTGGTGACAGAGACATGAGAGAGTGTTGTTTGAACCAAGCTCAGGACTCCCCAGGCTGGGCAACCCCTCACACAACTGACTGTGTTCCAAGCACAGCGAACCTAGTTCTGGTAGACTGTTTGACAGCACAAAATACAAGTTTGCAGATTAAACAGCATTACAAAACTGCATCATTTTAGACATGTTTTCCTGAGAGGGGTGCCAAGAAAAGCAGTAACTCAAAAGGAGCAGGCACTACTGCTCATGTCTCTAACTCATTTGTGTATTTAGCATTACAAATAAACATGGCAAATGAGCAAAGAGCATCTTTTACCTTTCTTGCTGCCACATTTTTCTTCTTTCTGTGCTACAGAAAGACAAGATACTTCCTTCTGATTACACAAGTTTGTGTGTTGTTCAGGAGTTGAAGTATCATCCTGGCCACTGAGTCTTCTCTTCTTTGTCAATGGTTCTTCTCCCTCAGATTTCATACTGGGGTTGGGTAGGTGAAAGCAACAACTTTGTGTGTACTTATCAAGATGCCAATTAGAGTTCTGAAATTGTCTCCAAGGTCCAAAAAATGGAGGGAATCTCCAGTTTGCTGAAAAATCAGCTGAAATAGGGAGTGGAAATGAGGCCCAGGGAGGATAGTGTCCGGCCCATCTCATACAGCTGGAAACTGGGCTGTTCAAGGCCAGTATCTGGGAGCCATTCCAGTGGGTGATCCAGTCTCTGCCCAGCCTCTGCACATGGCGGGGCAGCATGGAGTATCTACCAAAAAAGCACAAGTTTCATTACTAGCACACAACTACATCTGCCTGTAGAAAGCCGTGGAGGCAAAGTCATCCTGGTCAGGACTTACAGAAGATTCTCTCTACAAGTTAATGTACACAAGATATTCAAACATTTACATACAAGGTATTTAAACATTTATCTAAATGACATGCAACATGGGACTTTACAAAGTCATCTTGCATCCTTTTCCCCCCCCAGATTTACAAGTGCCATTTAGCATTCAAACCCTATCCGTCTCAGTAAGGATTTAAAATTTATTTTCTGCCTTGTTGAATTCAAGTGTCAGATCTTTCAAGTGCTCAGAGGAATGACCTTTACAAAAGGTAATTTTGCATGCTGCATTAACTTTATCATAAGGCTATTTGTAAGGAATGAGAAGACCACTTTCCTGCAAGCCATCAGAACTTTGGAAAGCCATTGATTTGGCTCAAATCCCAATGCCAACACGACAGGGAAATAAAGGTACTAAGTCTCAAGCCATCACTAGCACCATCGTAAATCTGTATTCTTACTTCTTTTCCAGGAGAGCAAACCACAGGTCAGCAACTAAAGCCAAGAAAAAGGTGGATTTCTTTTTTTTTTTTCTTTAGAAGAAAGAAATCTGTCTCTCAACAAAATCACAGGAAGGAAGGCTTAGTGACAATAGTACCTCAGCTTCCTCCCTGTTTAAATAAGGTATATTTTGAACCTATAAGCAAAAGGTAACAAAGCTTGATATGCTTGAAGTTGTGCTGAAGTGAGAACCTCCCAGCTGCCATTCAGCCGAGCAAATAAGCCGAAATACAGAATCACAGAACATGCTGAGTTGGAAGAGACCCACAAAGATCGTTGAGTTCAAGCCCTGGTCCCGCACAGCACACCCTAAGAGTCACACCATGTGCCCGACAGCATTTTTCAAAGGCTCCCTGAACTCTGTGTGGCTGCCTGGTGCTGCTCCCTGGGGAAGCTGCTGCAGCACCCAGCCACTCTCCGGGTGAAGAACCTTTTTCTAATATCCAGCCTAAACCTTCCCTGACACAACTTCAGGGCATTCCTTCGGGTCCTGTCACTGGGCACCACAGAGCACAGATCAGCGCCTGCCGCTCCTCTTCCCTTCATAAGGAAGTTGCGGACTGCCATGAGGTCTCAGTCTCCTCCAGGCTCCAAATGACCTCGGCCGCCCCTCACATATGTTCCCCGCAAGGATCTTCACCATCTTCATTGCCCTCCTTTGGACACCCTCTAATCGCTAATACAACTTTCAGCAAAACCCGCCTGTCCTGAAATAACCCTTTTCCGCCACAGCGCACCACATGTAGTCCAGCGGACACAAAAACAAAACACCGCCCCGGACATCACAGCATTACTATGGAGCAAAAAGAGGCATCACTCCTTTACAAAAAAACCCCCAAAACACATGCTTTAGAAAAAAGCACTGAGAAATTGCCCCCCGCTAAACCCCGCAGCCCCCCACCCCCAGCAACAGAATGCCCCACGCCGAGCTGCCCTCTGTTTATCGCGGCCCTGCTCGGCCTAATGGCGGGCATTACCACCGGCGCCCCCAGCCCCGGTTACCTCCGGGCGGGCCCGGGCCCCGCTACCGGCCCCGCGCAGCCCCGGCGTCCCCCGAAGGGGTCAGCCCAGGGCAGCGCCAGCTCCGGCCGCCGCGCTCCGGCCGCCCCGCCGCCGCCTCATCCCCCGCACGGGCTGCGGCCGCGCCGCGCCCTCCCGCTCGCTCCTGGGACTTGTAGTCCAAGGGCCGGGCCGGCGGCCATGTTTAGTCCGGGCAGCCGACGCCGGGGCCCGGCCGCTCCGGAGCGCAGCAAAACCTGCGCGTAGGCAGCCGGACTGGGGCTCTCGAAGCGTTTAAATTGAGGTAACGCTGGGCTCGTCCAGTAGTTTCTTCACCCAGAGGGTGGTCGGGCACTGGAAAAGCTCCCCAGGAAAGTGGTCACGGCACCAAGTCTGGCAGAATTCAAGAAGCATTTGGACAACAGTCTCAGGCAAGGTGTGACCCTCGAGAATGTCCTGTGCAGGGCCAGGAGCTGGACTTTGATGATCCTTGTGGATCCCTTCCAACTCAGCGTATTCTGTGATAGTTTCCATAAGTGGTCTCCTCCCTGGGATCACAGTGTGTTCCTGCAGGGTCGAGGGGCCGGGAAAGAGCTGCCGTACATTTCAAGGCGCCATAGCACATTTCTAGGGCAGCAGCACCATGCTTAGTGTTTGCAGAAAAAAACCAAACCCCGTGCACCCAAGCGAGTATTTCAACATTGTCAGGTTTTAAAATGCAGCTGAAGGTGCTCTGCTAGGGAGAGCTGGCCTGAGAGATGGGTGGGAGAGCTGCCTGCCCTGCAGCCCCCGCTGACAGACGCACCGCTGCTTACCAGCTGCAGCAACAATCCTCTGCCTCTGCCGATGTTGCTTGAATAAGCACTTAGAACGCTTTCTAGAGGTCTTCTGAGGACAGTGGAAATGTTCGCCCTGTTTACTGTAAGGAAACGTACCACAATGCATATGAAAATTGTAGTGCTGAATAGTGCAGATGCTGTGCAGGAACTGTAATCAAGTAAAATACCGTTTCTCTGCATTCCTTTTATATCTGTCATAAAAGTGACTTTAAATAACATTTGAAGTTTTCCCAGGAGTGGTGGGGAAGACTGGAATTGAAATAACACAGTGATGAGCATGCTAGTTAGGCAACGTGTCAGATCCACTTTGGGTTTTCCTTTTCTTGAACACAACTTACTGGTGAAAGGTAAAAATACCCATAAATTTTCTGTTAGTTTCTTCACCATATGAGAATGAAACTACTAACCCCATTACACATGTGTAGTAAAGGATCTCCCAACTGCATTTTCAAGACCATCTTGTTTTGGTGGTTTGTTCTTTTCTGAATGTTTGTATTCTTATCTTTGAGATGTATTTCTAGGACAGAAGATGGTAAGCCACAGCTATAGCAACCACAACTGCTGTTATTTCTAGGAGCAGAATCTACACATAACATGCAGTTATTTTCTGTATTTTGACCTGCACAGGGACACCAAAATTGATCTGTCACTTCAAAGGTTTTTACATAGTAGTAATCTCAGTAGTGATTCCGGAAAAAAAGAAATCATGGAAGCTTTGGGTTTTAATGAAAATAAAGATGTCCTGAAAAATATGGAAGTTGTGTAACAGACAAAAGAAAAAGACTAACCTATTGATATGATGCAAATTGTTTCTCATCTCAGTGTTGCTAGATTATCTTGCCTTGACCTAGAAAAGTTTTAATAAGCCAGTAACACTTAATTGTGGGTTTTTTATTCCCATCTAATTACTACTTTGTGTTGGCTATACCATGTGAAAAGATATTCTGCAGAATTAGATATCTCCAAATTCTGATTTGGAAGTAGAAGCCAAATTATTTTATGAGTCATTTGAGCTTTTGAAACTCCCTAGTGAATGGAGGCTACTGACTCACTGAGGGATGCTTTGATTGATGACACTGCACATAAGAACAGCCACAGTGGCTCAGATCAATGGTCCACTGAGCTCAGTTTCCTGCTTTCTAAATGTTATTAGCAGCAGATGCCTAGAAATGTTCAGGGACTGGGCAAACTTCAAATGAACACTCTCCCTGCCTCTTGCTGTTTTCAGCTCCATGCATTTCCTAAGCCTGATACTTGAATACATTCAAGTACTTGAATATGCGAAATTTTGGTAACTTACAGAACTTCCATGAAGTTCTGTGTACCAGCACAAGATGTAGAAGACATGTTCTTCCCCTCTCAGAAAATAAAGGAGAGTGACAAGTGAGCTGCTAACAACCTATGTCCTCTTTCTTACCTCTTCCTTAAGAAAATGTTTCTCAAGGGAGAGGCGCGTGCTTACTATGAACTTCAGTACAAGAACTCTTATCTTTCACACAGATGCACAATTAAGTATTGTTAAATACTTTATGTCAAAAACCTTCATGAGAGCAGAGATATTAATAACCTGGTAAGGAAAAGCTGTTTTAACATCTGCAATTAAATGAATGCATGCACAGTAGTTAAAAAAAATAAATATCGAGTTTATATGATCTGAGGTGTGAGATTTGCATTGGTACAGACCCCACTACAGACAAGAAATCAAAGGTAATCTTACAAAAGGACAAGGTCCTGTGGCACAAAGTTATGCTCCTTAGAAGGGAAGCAATACCCCTCAAACCCTGGAGGGTTTCCTAACACCAAAGTGTTCTGCAGACCTGTGCACGCAGAGAGCCTATCCATAGAAGAAGTCCAGGTGCAGCTTACAGAACCTGGAGAAGAAACAACACACAAAACATGGTGACTCCATAACCATCAAACTTGCCTTTCTGGTAGCATTCCTCTTTAAAATCCGTGAGTCATTTCTGCATTACAGGCCTATGGATTTAGGGCAGCATAGCCTAAAATGGCCCACGGCAGACACTGGGAGCGGCGTACCAGGGGCTCGTTACGGATTTGTAGAGGCCACGGGCGCCTGTGTGGGCGAGGGGCCCGACGGTCAGTCCCCGCCAAGTGTAAATCCCCCACGGCCGTGCCCCTGCAGAGCACCTGGAATGGAGCCCCGCCGCCGCCGGGCTGTGCCTGCCACGTCTGGGCCGTGACACCTCGGCCTCGTCCCTGCGGCGCGGACTTCCAGCCTCGGGGAGAGACCGCGAGCCGGGGATCGGCGCATCCGAGCATCCCGCGGCGGCCGGGAGGGGCTCCCCGGGCCGGGCCTCCGGCACCGCCCGGGCGGGGCGGGGCGGGGGGGGCGTTCCCGGGCGCCGCTTCCGCCTGTGTCGGGCGGGCGGGCGGCGCGGCGGGGGCAGCGGCAGGATGCTGAGCCCGCGGGAGCGCGGCGCCGACCTGGCCCGCTTCTACACCGTGACGGAGCCGCGCCGCCACCCCCGCGGCCACACCGTCTACAAGGTCACGGCGCGGGTGAGTCGGCGGCCGCCGCCCAGCCCCTCGCCCCCGCGGCTCCCCGCGCCCGGCCTGCCCCGCATTCGGGCAGTAAAGCCGCCGCTGCGTGCGGAGCAGTGTCCGCGGCTGCCGTGCCCGGCCGCGACGTGGAAACTCCTGTGAGGGACACGGGTGGGAGAGAGGGAGGGGAGGGTAGGTGGAACACGGCGGCCCCTCCCGAGCCGAGCCCCAGTCGCCTCCTGCAAACTTGTAGCCTCGCAACGTTGTAATGGCTTCGGACACGCTTTGCAATTAACTCTCGATTTCCTTGCTGTGCGTTGCAGGGCATGCGAGAGCAGCTTTAAAACAAACAGCTCCTTCTCTTTTTCCTCCCGTTCTTCCGCCCCAGATGTCGTGGGTAGGCTGCAGTGGGATTGCCCAGCGTTCCTGGCAGCCCCGCAGCACAGCGGCGCGCTGGGGAGGAGCCGGGAGGGAGCGGAGTGCCGCGGCTCTGCACGCCCACGCCGGCAGCGCGGAGCTGCCGGAGCCGCGCATGGAGCCTGAGCGTGCCCAGGAGGGCCAGCCCGGGCGGGCAGGGCGCTCTGGGTCACTCAGGCCTAGCATAGGAAGCAGGGAAACTGCTGCAGATACTGGGAGAGCTGCTGTGCTGCTGACTTTGATGAAAGCTCCGTGTGTTCTCCCAGGGAAATTCCTTGCTTTCTTTTCCACTTTCCTATTAAACCAAAAAAACGAGGCGAGTAAGTAAATATGTGGCGATAGGTTCAAGACGAGTGGCAGTTTAGCTCACAGGTGTGGTGGAGTATATTGGGAGCATCAGAAGAGGAGTCACAGAGAGACAGGGTTTTAAATGACCCGTGATCCTGTAGTTACTGCATCCGTAGACATCCTGCCTGTGAAAGCAAGGTATGCTTATAAGCACCCTTAATTCAAAGACTACAACATTCTGTATATGTGTACAGATTCTAATGTCAGGGGTTGTTAGCCTATGATCAGTTTGTATGACTTGTAAAATTAAAAAAAATTTTTTGGTCATCTCTCAATCATCTACCTATCATCTATTTATCTATATATCTCTCCAAGGTCACCAAACACAAATATGTTAAAACTGTTCTTTTTAGTCCAATACAACTTAGTATTTGTGAAGAGGAAAAGAAAGAGTTGCTTTTTCCTATGGTGGTGCAATTTAAAAAGCCTTTCCTGAAATAGATGCAGAGAGGAAAACAGTACCATCACATCTTCTGCAGTTCTTCTTGATGGCCCAAATGTGTGTGTACTGAAAAGTTGTGTCAGTGAAATAAAGACTAATAGGAATGAGCCAAGACTTCTGCTGCTTATTTTGCTCTGGTGCTTTGTTCTTATTGACTAAAGCCAGTTAAATTTCTCTGTGATGTTTTGGTTTCTGTAAAATAGTTCAAAATGAAGGTGGGGATGTCATTCTCTCTCCTTGTCCCATAAACTGTGGGTGCTCTGATGCCTTTCCAAGCAAGTGTGAGATCAGGTGGTGTGCTTGGATTTAGCACAGAGCAAGGAGCTGATCAGTCTGTGAGCTGTCCAAATTCAACTGACTTAACCAGAGATCATTAGTTTTTTACAGTATTTTTGATAGCTAAAATCACCAAAGTGAAAAATTATTTCATTTTTTTTTTTGCAGTAAAGGATGCTTTGGACTCCTAAGTGCAGAAATATAAACTTTTGTTTCAGCAGGGTTGTCTGATAATCTGTTGTGTAGTACTTGAAGTGAGGATTTGGGAAATTGAATAAAACGATTTAAAAAGGATTCAGTGTACCTGTCAAGTACCCTTTCTTTTTCTTTCCTCCTA